GCGCTGACATTTAAGACCCCATTTTTGAAACCATTTTGAAATAGTGACTGTAGGGTGGGGGATGTCACACTCAAATGTGCTACTCCTAAAAGCAGTGTTTCTAAATGCAGCTTGCCTTTTTGAAAGCATGATGGTGGCCTTTCTGTTTAGTGGGTGGGTAATCAGGTGCAATCATCAAATCTTAAGGCAGTGGCAAGGCTGATGTGGGGTTTTGGTACAATGAGGGGAATCAATGATGCTGTGCAATTGTACCTCAATCCGCAGGGATCACTAACAACACGGGAGGGGATAGCCACCTGCCCCACGCACGCCACACGCAGGGGCTCCTGGACAATTCTGTGGCTTTAGAAACAAACCTAGGTTCCAAGAGAATTACACTGTGAAGTCTTACAGAAATGCTCTTACGAGATAGCCAGTCCAGAATAAAACCTTTGGGGTGCATGTCAGCAAGCAAGAAGCCTTCCGAAGAGGTAGATGAAAGCATTATCTCACAGCAAGTTTGCTGCCCGATGTGACAAAAGCCGTGCGCACGCCTCTCAGCACGGACCAGAAGATCGACTGTTGTTGAGAGCAGTCCATGGTGGGGAGGGGAGGTGCTGGCCCACATTGCTACGTGCGTTATTTCCATTTTACTGTATTAAGAACAGGAAGGACTGCCATTTCTTTAAATAACAAACTATACAAATAAAAAGGAGCAGAAATAAGATGGAATGGTTTTGATGAAAACAAACTGATGGATTCAATAAATAATATAAAATGCTTTTGTGCTAAAATAGAACTCTTGTTTCTTATATATATATAGTTCAGTGATCTTTATGCTATCCAGAAAAAGCCAAAGCTATTATAATTAAACATAGAAAAATACCATTTAACAATAAAACTAAAAAAATGGCCAGTGTTGAGCTTATAAACCACATATAATATGTACATCATTTAATAAAATCAACTAAGAAAGTAAATTTCAAGTTATTTGTAATACAAATACACAATTGAAAATATGTCTCCATTCCCTACCCTTACATCAAAGACATCTCGTGTTTAGGACAAAATAAAAAATGGAAGCATAGTTACTGGTTTTCAGAGATGATTTTGAGATGGTTAGACATCAGAGAGCTAACTCTACTATACAAAGCTGAGTTATTTAATTCTAAAATGAAGGATTTTTCCCCCTATATGTGTGTTTGATGAAATGTATATACTCTTAACCTATTTTCTATAGGTTTTTTGTTTGTTTTTAATAAAGGCAATTTAAAATTTGGGGTCTGACATTTCTCAATCAATGCTAACACAGCTAGGTCAAAAACGCACCACCACTGGGCCAGCTGTGGGAGCCTGCAGGAGCGGCAATCTCTGCTATTCTGCTAAAACGAAACAGTTACCTTAGTCTTTAGGGAAAGAGAAAACATAAAGTTCACTATGACTGGAGGAAGCCAAGGAGTACCACTTTAGAGTGCAAATTTCATTCATTCCGTAGTACACTTTGTTAAAATGTGACTTGGGTTTTTTTTTTTTTTAATCATATTAACATGAATTTAAGTAATTATTTCAAGTCTCTCCAGTAAACTTTACATAGGAGGGAAAAAAATCATGTTAAATCTCTAGGTAAAAATTTAACTGTTAGTTAATTACTTTAAATTTTTTTTTTTTTTTTTTTGTAGAGACGGGAGTCTTGCTGTGTTGCCCAGGCTGGTAACTCATCGTTAGGGTGAGCGGGGCAGAACGGAAGAGGCCTGCTCTTCTGAGAGATTTACCAGGACTTCAATGGATTTGTAACAATGTCCCCATTTGACCAATGGGGCAATGCGTTCACAGTGATCCAGTCACCACCGCTCCACCTTGGGGGCTGCAAAATGCACACACCAGGAGATGGCCTGGTGCTGCTTTAGCCCTGGGTCCCCTGTGCCCTCACGGATGGGTGCCAGAGGTCAGGCAGAGGCAAAAGCACTTCTCTGGAAAGTTCTGATAGGCAGCAAATGGCTTCTGAATGAGTTCAGCAAACAAAGTGACCAAGTCTTAGAATAATTAGTGTAAGGAAAAATCTCTTGCTACAGGGGAAAAACCTCACCTATTTGAACTCAGTTATTTCCTTGGTGCTTTATGGTGTAATGATTTAAAAGCAACCTCTTTCTTCCTTCGCCCCATGTCTACTACTGTTCTCTCGGTGACACCCATCCAGCCTCCACTTATCACAGGTCCCAGCCAAGCCCAGATCATCTCCACAAGTCAACCCCTCATTCAGGGTGGGAGGTGTTAATTCATTAAGCATTTCGGAATGACATGGAAACATTTCCCTGAACATCGCCGAGACAACACGGCATATGATTAAATCACACCAGCAACTTCAAAGCATTTCTACAGGTTTACATCACGCGAGAAAGGCCAGATTCTGAGAATGCTGGGCTTTTTTTTCCCTTGGTAGGTTAAAATTCTGAAACATTAGAAAAATCAATTCTACTCAAAAGTAAAATGTGTTGAATTGGCCCAGCTACAAAATCTGCGTGAAACTGTAAAAAGCAGAGGAAAACCACTCTGGGTCTTTTGAATCTAGTTAAATTCTTGTCGTCAATTGGTAAACAATACTTTGTAGATGGCCAATGTGGCCTGAAAAGGTGTTTCTAATATCCATCTGGCATATGTCAGACCAGAACTCAAGCTGAATCTTGTTTGTAACAAACAAGACTCTTGCTTGCTGCTGCCGCCGTCTTGAGCAGAACGCTTCCTTCCGTCGGTGCTTTCTCACTGGGTATTTGGCCCCTTCTTTTTATACAGAGGATTTGAAACTGTTATGTCAGTGAATGGACCCATCAGAGGCATGAACACTTTGCATTAACGTTGAAAGAAGAAGCTGACTTGTAGAGGTTTTGTTGAAAGTGATATTTAAATATGACAAAGGAGGAAAAACCAGTGAGCCCCTGTGACATGATGGGATACACGAACCAAAGAGTGTGTTTTAGGTCAAAAATAATAAACCTGAATTCACGAAAGTTTTTAATTTATTCCATATGTGTCTTACATAGCAGCTTAAAATAATCTATTACTTATAGGCTTTGCTTTACTGATTCTTTTGAATCCTGAAATCAAGACTTCTTACAACATGATTTTGTAAAAATAAAATATTAACCTCAATTATTTTTCTCATCAATGTTAAAATATCCCAACCACAGAAATCTAAGATAATGAGAAAACGTGGGCTGAATTTTGTCCTTTTTAATAGCTGGAGTGTAAGAAGGGTGAACATCTAGGAATTTTGAGAGGCCAAGGAAGGAGGATCGTTTGAGCCCAAGAGTTCAAGACCAGCCTGGGCAATACAGCGAGACCCCCGTCTCTACCCCAAAAATAGACTAGCCAAGAAAGGTGGCATGCATACATCTGTAGCCCTAGCTACTCAGGAGGCTGAGGTGGGTGGACTGCTTGAACCTAGGAATTCAAGGCTGAAAGTGAGCCACAATCATGCCACTGCTCTCCAGCCTGGGTGACAGAGCAAAGGCCCGGACTCCCAAAATTAAAAAAATAAGTAACAGCCAAGTATACCACGATGTTTCATCCAACTGACTTCTCTGCCGGCCATGCAAGCACCAGGTGCAGGCACAGTGGTATCCTCCGTCTGTCGCAGAAACACCCCCATCGCCACATGCTGGCAGAAGACACGCCCCTCAGGGATCCTCACACCGGACCCCAACACAATTGGTGCCACCCTCAGAAGCAGCTCAACCTAATCTCACAAAGTGTGTTTAATAAATGACATCCAGATGCGCTTCTCAGCCATATCATTACGAAGCAAATGTGAGCTGGGAAATGTCAAAGTTTCCTTGGAGTAAGTCTGAAGGAAAAGGACTCTCAGGGTATTTTCCAATTCGTGTATCTTTTCTAAAGAGAGATGAGGCTTAGAGCAAAAATTTTTGTTTTTGAAAGAGATGTGGATTGGCTCAATTTTAGAACAAGAATGGGGAAAGTGGAATAATCTTTTTCAATACGTTTGCGGAGCTCACGCTCTAGGTATGAGATATTAGACGTTAAGCCCAGGCCCTGGTGGAGTCAGCAGGAGGCCCTTTATCCTGGAGATGTCGGAGAGGCAGGAGGCCCAGTGCTTGCCCAGCTGCACGTGCTGAGGACCCACGAGCTTGAGATGCAGACAGGAATGGCACCAGTCACAGCTGTAATTAACCAGGGCTGGGAAGACATTCACGCTTTGAGAACAATGGCTTTTCTGCTTCTGGGGTGTGTGTGTGTGTTTGTGTTTAAACAGAATGTGAATACCAGTCTTCCCTTTTAAATAAAGAGAATGCATATAAGCCGTACATCCCTCCCACCGTGTGTGTATGTGTGTGTGTGTGCGTGTGTGTGTGTGTGTTTAAACAGAATGTGAATACCAGTCTTCCCTTTTAAATAAGGAGAATGCATATAAGCCGTACATCCCTCCTCCCACACTGGAAATAACAGATAGTGGAAAACAGATGTTAATTTAAGCCCCTGCTAGCAGTTGAGATAGACAACAAACCCCCACATTATTTTTTTTGCGAAGTAACTCTTATGAAACAATGGACTGGACCCTTTTGGCAAACTGTCATCTGAACTCTCAACATAACCGCATTAAAAAGTACTTACTTTGCCCATGAAGACAGCACATAAGTATAAAAACAAAGATCTGGAACCACTGAAAGTATCAAGGACGATTGTGATGTCAAGTTATTTATCCTGTTAGTAGTTAAGGACATACACTGAAACCACTGCAAGAATGGGACAAACGAGTGGACTTGTCAAATGACCTTCTTTCAAGACTGATGACGGCGGGTTCACTGCGCCTCCTGGTTCTCAACCCAGCATCTGTTTGGGGGTATCAATGGGGCCTGAAGGCAGGGGGAGAAAACAGACTTCATCAGGCAGATGCTGCTGGGACCCAGCAGAAAGCCTTTATGCCCTGAGGCCCTCCCTGTCGTTCACCAGCCCAGTGCAAAGTGTCATTCATTCATGACAGACGGATGACGACATGAAAGTCAGTATACAGTTAACCCATTTTGACATTCATTCTTCGGCATTTTTTTCAATACAATTCATCTTGAATCATACTAAGACGTAAAACAGACCTGCTTTTGCACACCCATTCCTGATATGTCTCCCAGGGTCAGGCAGAAGGAACCACAAGGACTGTCACACAATTACTAATGGTGGAGACCCGAGACCGACTCACCCACAAGTGTTCCTGCACGCCAGGTACGGCTCGCTGACTTGCGTGCACCGGACTCAAAGGCTTTTGAAAAATGCTCTTTGCCCCTGAAACCTAAAACTCCACTGCCTGTCCTTCAGAAGCAGTGTCAATCTTTCCAACGATGGATGGACAAATGCCTTCAGTGAGTAGTTAATCCCAGCTACTTGGAGATGATGTCTCCGTCATTCCCACCTGGCTGAGGGGGCCCCGGAACAGACTGGTCAGAGGCAGGGCAGTCGTGTGGGTGCAGTTCCCAGGAGGGCCCGTGCGCAGAAAGATCTTCAGCTTCTAAGATCATCAGAAAATATCTTCAACTTTGAACCCCAGGACACGAAGTCAGTGGTGAGGTGCACGGAACGTACCGTGGCTCTCCCATCCCCCAGTAGTACGGAGCAAAGACCTAGAAAATCAGCAGTGAGTAGGGATAAAAGTCGGCAGTGCTTTGGGCAATGTGTGACCTCACACTGAACATCTTCAAAGTCCAGTCTGGAAAGTCTTAGAAGTGTCTGATATCAGACAGAAAAATTCACGTGGTAAGGAGGAGTCACTTCAAGTTCTAGGTTCATAGGTACCAAAGTGTGTAGCAGAGAAAAAGATTTTTTATTTCTTCAGTAGTTTTGCCTGGGGACAGATGTGACAAGGCAGGGAGCCGGGCTGACCCCAAGCCGAAGCGTCCCGACTCCGCTCGGGAGCCTGCAGGAGTCCCAGTAGTGAATAGGTCAGACGTCTCATCCTCATTCACCCCAAAAGGCTGAGAGCCTGGTGTGTCCTCCTCAAGGACCCTCCCTGTGGCTAGGTGCTAGAGGCCATTGCTGTTTCTGTGACAGAGGGAGGGCTTCGAGAGCTCCACGGTGTTGGACCGAGGTTTGTTGAGGAACTTCGGGGCGCGACGCAACAGTCGCTGCGCCTCCTTGAAGGTTTCGTTCAACTCCTTCTTCCACTGCACGAACTCTGGATCACTCTGAGTGGGGACACAAAGGCAGACGTTGTGATGGGCTCGCCCGTTTTGCCAACAGCGGGGGATGCCTCTGTTGAATACCAGCATCCCTGGAACCCCTGAAGGAAGCACACCCCATGTGTCCACCCCCGGTGGCGTTCCTAGCTAATGGATCGTGCTGCCTCCTTCTCCAGAACCTCTTGAAAAGAGCAGGGAAAGGCCACTTTAAAACCCTTCATGTGATTCCAGTACAATCCCACTCTGAGAATCACTGCCTTTAATTTGCTCAGAGATGACTTTTGATTTCTAAAACAACGGAAGCCTTTAATAATATAGGGGGGAAAGTTTTGACAAATTAAAAGTAAATTTAAATATATATTCATGTATGTAATGTAGTCATGAGGTTAGTAAAAATAATTTTTTGCATCTAATACTTGTTTATTTCTCTAAATATGCTCTCTTAAACCACACACGTCCACTAGTACTCTAGTGTCCAGGAATGAAATTTGTGATAGAATGCAACTTTGAGGAAAAGACAGACGACATTTCCCTTAAGATGGCATTTCAGTTGGCCATTTTATATTTATCTAAATATGTAAACCTTAACTTCGAACATGCTGAAAAATCTTCAAAGTTATAGAACAAATAAAATTCTAGGCCCCATTAAATACTGAGCAGATTTTCCAGATAGGGTAATCACATTATTTCACGTACGCCCTCCTGCCCTCCTGCCATTTCTTTTTTTTTTTTTTTTTTGAGATGGAGTCTTGCTCTGTTGCCAGGCTGGAGTGCAGTGGCGCAATCTCGGCTCACGGCAACCTCCGTCTCCTGGGTTCAAGCGATTCTTCCGCCTCAGCCTCTCGAGTAGCTGGGACCACAGGTGCGTGCCACCACGCCTGGCTATGGCCAGAATGGTCTCGATCTCTTGACCTCGTGATTTGCCCGCCTCAGCCTCCCAAAGTGCTGGGATTATAGGTGTGAGCCACTGCGCCCGGCCTTCCTGCCATTTTCTAATAATATTTCCCTTTTTCAAAAATAACCAATAGGCTGGGCGTGGTGGCTCACACCTGTAATCCCAGCACTTTGGGAGGCTGAGGCAGGTGGATCATGAGGTCAGGAGTTCAAGACTAGCCTGGCCAACACAGTGAAACCCAGTCTCTACTAAAAATACAAAGATTAGCTGGGTGTGGTGGCAGATGCCGGTAATCCCAGCAACTTGGGAGGCTGAGGCAGGAGAATCGCTTGTACCCAGGAGGTGGAGGTTGCAGTGAGCCAAGACAGAGCCACCGCACTCTAGCCTGGGTGACAGAGCCAGACTCTGTCTCAAAAAAACAAAAAACAAACAAAAAAAAATGATTAATTTCTTGAAAATCTTGTACACCTTGAGGCTTTCTTACTAAGTTTATAAGTTGCAAGTGATAAAACATGGTGTAAGAAAATGTTTTATAGCCAGGCATCCAACTTTGGTGAATATTTAATTATTCTAACATTCACCTAAGAAAAAATAAAAACTCACCTCACATTGCAAGACAAATTGCTTCCCTCCTTTTATTCTGAACAAAATGCATTTTTTGTCTTTAATTTGAGTTTCTTCCACAGAGAGGATCTGTTCCATTGTCAGTAAATTTTGCTAACCGTAAAAACAGAAATTCAAAATTCAAATTATTTTGTGATTTCTTGGGTGGCAACACCAAAAACTACCAAGTTAGAACAAGTAAAAAAAGAAAAGGCATCCATTTTTCTTTCTTTGATGATATTCCAAAAGGGAGGGCAAAATGGCTACAATGAACACACACAAATTATAACGTTTCAAGGAAGACGGCAGAGAAAGCGATGTTTCACTAAGGAAAAACAGCAAAGCTGTTATCTCCACACAGAACCGATTTTGAACGATGAGGAAACACAGGCATACCTGTTGTCTAGTACAGCACACTCCTATAAATTCTATCAATAAAGTGGTGAGGAAGCAAGATGGCCACATATGATTTCTGTGAGCCAAAGATGTGTAGTTCATTTTGAAGGCAGCAACTCAGCAAATGTTTAGTGATGGCAGCTTGCAAGCTAACAGTATTTTGATAATATTCCAATGACATCAGAAATAGAGATGGTTTCCTTAAAAGACTGTCAATACTAGGTCTATAGCATTATTGCTTAAGGTGAATGCTTTAGCGGCATGAGTTCCTTACCATTTGATGTTGCTTTTTTTTTTCTAATATATATATATATAAATACTCCAGGAATCTTGACTGAGAAACGACACCCTGATAACCACTCAGGTTTTCTTTTTCCTTACGTAGACTTACTAAATCTGCTCATGCATATTATGTTGGTACTCAAATAGAACAATCAGTGTTGCATCTTTTAAAGCCAAGCTCATTTATTGCATCCAACGTTAAACAAAGGTAAGGTTTTTTTTTTAAAGTTTTCAAACATTCTGAAAAGTGGGGGCGGGGGGGTTCTTTTTAATGTGCACAATAGCGACATGCCAGTGGGTAGCATTCATCACCTGGAAATATGCTGAGCTTTGGGGAGCTACTGTGATGCTTCTCAGCCCTGAGTTACAATTCAGGGCCCCCAAAAGAATCTTACTAATTGGAACTAAGATCCTAGATTCTAATTTTTCAAAAATAACTTCTATGGCAGGAGTGATGGTGGGAAGATCTTGTTTCTTTTCAAAGAAATGGAGTGATATGCAATTGTAATCATTTGTAATTGAATGAAAACTGTGCTGATAGTAAACTGTAAAAATACAGCCCAAAGCCAAATCCATAAGATCTAGGTGCCCTGTTGTCCATACTTCTGATCCCTGGAGAACCAATGGGCGGTATTCCAACACATAAACAATGCTCTGAATGTGTAGGACCATTACCCTGCCTACAATGACTCATCAAGCTCCCCACCTAAAACAGAAAAGATGCCTTCTGCCAGGATTGGCTCCTTCCTTGGGGACAAGCCTTGGGCTCCTCACACAATAGGCGCTTAATAAATGCTGCCTGGTTTGCTGAAAGGTACCGTGTGGATTGGAAATTTCTTTCTATCTTGTTTGTAAACATTAGTTCTGGAAAGGATCTTAGAGGGCAGCCATATCTTGCTATCGTAGGAGCCACCAACCAATTCCCAACAAGGTGAACACACAGGGAGTATCTTCTGGTGACCTCACCTCTGTGCCAAGTGTCATGGCCTGGGACATTTTATTTGCGCCAACTAGGAGAAGCTGTACAATGGAGAGACTCAGGGTACAGGGAGACCTGGTCTGAGTCACCCTCCCACCTCCTAACTGTCCAGTTGTGTTTTGAGGTGGCAGACTTTCCCCTCTAAGCCTGCTTTCCTCTTTATAAAATAAGGGTTGGAGGCTCAAAGGTTCCAAACAAACGGAGTATTTTTGTTTGTTTGTTTTTTCCAGCACTTGACCTCAGATAAACATGCAAAGATTACAGTACAGTCATCCCTTGACATCCATGGGGGACTGGTTCCAGGAACTCCCTGAGAATACCAAAATCCACAGATGCTCAAGTTGCTGCCATAACATGGTATCGTATTTGCATATAACCTTCACACATCCCCCTGTATACTTTTAAGTCACCTCTAACGTAAATGCTATGTAAATAGTTGTTGGACTGTATTGTTTTTTATTTGTATTTCTTTTTCTCGCTGTATTGTTATATTTTACTTTTTTCCCCAAATATTTTCTCTCCTTGATTGCTTGCAGCCCAGGACGAGGAGCTGCAGCTATGGAGGGCTGACTGCTGTTATTAGGATTCTCATTCCCTCATTTCACAGAGGAGACAGCGGAGGCTGAGAGAGTCAATGTGATGTGCTCAGAGCCCCAGAGACACCCAGCAACGGATCCGAACGCGTCTGTGTGACTTCAAAGTCCAGCTTGTCTTTTCTTTTTAGATCCACCTACCTGCTCTCCAGCCTTCTTCAAATCCATCTGATGATACGGTGCTTCTGACCTCACCAAAAAGCATGTTCTATTTTCAGATATTACGAAGTTCCCCCTTGACTTAACGAGTTGACTCGAAAGTTTAAAAGAAGTTAAAGCACGCACACTACCATCTCATGTGTACCAGTACAACAGATCCACGGAGTTTTGGAGGATATGTTATAAAACATGAAAGCAACATGAAATCAGCATATGCCATTGTACGTACTGGGAGACATGCCGGGCGAGACTGCCTTAGACTTACCCGGGACTCTCCCTCTCCTCTCCATTCAAGTCTATTTGGAAAGAGGTAAAAATAGCGCCGCTGCCACTGAGTCAGAAATGGGTTTCCCAGTTTCAGCATGTACCCGTGCATAATGCAGTCCTTCCCCAGAGCGTAATCTGAGGAATACAAAATAACTAGGAGTTAAACAGGCTCTGAAACAAAATGTCATAGCAGCATTATTCTCTGAAAAAAGAACGACATACTTTTTGGGAAAAGGAGGTTTCTATAAATATAGCACATTACAGAAGTCATGGTTTTTGTTTTAAATGCACGTGCACTGGGGGTCTAGAGATCAGAAGGTTCCGCAGCTCTCTCTGCCCACATGGTAAATGGCTGCTTCGCAATATGCTGATCAATCCATGATGTCCATGGATGGCTCTGGGAGGGCAGAAGTTAGTTTCCAAACTCTTTTCGTTATGTATGATGAGAATTGGAGAATAGAGAGGCCTGGTTAGTACCTGAATGGGAGATATTTACCTCTCTTAACAAGTGACAGGATCCTCGCCAGGACCGGCTACATACTTCTCAGCCCCCAGTGCAAAATGAAACTGCAGGTCCCTTGTTCAAAAATGACTAAGGGCTCCGAGGTGGTGACAACACGGCCCTAAACTGAGTCAGATGCCCAGATGACTGCACAGGGCACACGCCAGTGACACCAGCCCCACTCCTGACGCTGCCATACTCGATGTGCAAGAAAAAACCTCTGAACTAGTCCCCACGCGCTCCCAGATAAAAGGGCATTCTAAAGAAACCTGGCCGCCTGTCTCCATAGACTCCTTTGCATGCCGACTGAAGACTCTGAAATAACCCGGCTGAGCGTTTCCAAGCCAGAGCAAACTGAAACCATCTACGGCACTGCTTTCTTCTCGACTGGAAAATACCTTACGACCCAAATACTTTTTCGGCTTTGCCAGAAATTCTGAAAACGCACTGCCTGAGAAATGTATTGAGACACGTTCGCTCCGTTACCTTCTTCGTGGCCAAGCTGCTTATTTTTAGCCCTCTTTCTGGCCTCAATTTTATCCGCGTCTGCATTTACTGCTTCATAAACGGTTTCCGTGACCTCTTGCTGCCAGCGTTCGGAGATGACCAGAGGGAAGTTCTTGTAGAGTTCTTGGTCGCAATCAAGCAGCTGATTATTTTAAGAAGTCAAGATATTTCCGATTAATATACTTACAAAGGTAAGAGTCCATGGTGCCACATTCACAGTGACACTATCATAAAACTATATATAGGAAGATGGCAGCAGTGATCATTTGGAGGCAGGTTATTAGTTGTCGTAAATCTCTGCTAATGACAACTCAAGCAATCATCATCCACAAACAGAACCATCACCACGTCAGTTTCAGCCCCAGATCAGCTACGGTCAGCACGACCTTCTATACTATCCTCATGACATGTTTGCCAATGAAAACTCACAGACAGGGTTTTACTTCAAGTAGGAAAAGACTGACGATAAACTAAAATTTCAATTATGGTAAGGATATTTTGTTTCTGTAAGTGGGGAAACTGTTTCTATAGTTTTGGAAACAGTTACCTAAGAAAGAAGCCAAGAGGGCTTTTGAACCAACCTTCAATTAATCTGAAAAGTCAGAAAAACCAAAGGTAAATAAGGCTGAGCTTCCTATGAATTCCATGAACCTTCCAACTACTTAAAGTTTAACGTCATATTCATGTATAAGAAAACTCGAGATACATGGGGAGTTTAGGCAATGGAGCCTTTAAGAGTTGCTGTAGGGCTGGGTGCGGTGGCTCACGCCTGTAATCCCAGCACTTTGGGAGGCCGAGGTAGGCGGATCACGAGGTCAAGAGATCGAGACCATCCTGGCCAACATGTTGAAACCCCGTCTCTTCTAAAAATACAAAAATTAGCTGGGAGTGGTGGCACACACCTGTGGTCCCAGCTACTCGGGAGGCTGAGGCAGAAGAATCGCTTGAACCCAGGAGGCGGAGGTTGCAGGGAGCCGAGATTGCGCCACTGCACTCCAGCCTGGCGACAGAGCAAGACTCTGTCTTTAAAAAAAAAAAAAAAAAAAGAGTTGCTGTGACAAAAATTACACTTAATGGGAGCATTTTTCCTCCAAATCATTACTCAAAATTCTTCACTCTGCCCTCTAGGTAAGGCTGCACTTTGAATATGAGCAAAGAAAATGGTTTTATGCATCTCAGCTACATTTTTACGGCAGAAATACTGGCAGTCTTTCTGATAAAAACATGCTTGCCTTAGAAGCACAGACTTCCTTAGAGACTTGATTTGCTCACTCTTTGAGAGATAAGCAGGGGTGGGTATCATAACAGGCAAAATACTGAGAAGGGCAAGAAAGCCCAAGGAGGCGAAGGCCCTTGCACACCCTCCCTTAGCAAATAACAGACCAGCAGAAGCAGCTGCATCCCACATCCCAATCTGGGGCCCGCTCCATCCAGTCTGATCTATTATAATGATCTATTGATTTTGAGGTCACCTTGCCCTGTCGAGCCTTTCCACTTTCTGTTTTCTTCAGACATTCAGTCTGAGCCCATAACTGAACCCCTCGATTGCTCTGAATGGGACTGGAGGTACGTGCGTGTGTGTGAGATGGGGTGTTGAAGACCCCAAATCCTGATGAGCACCTGCGATCAGGCACACAGGGACAGGTTCTGAACAGTCTGGCGAAGAGTCAAAGCACACTCCTTGCCCAGGTGGCTATTCTGAAACGGCCTGCTCTGTTTTATAGACGAATGGTTCTACTGCCTATAATTTCGGAAAGCCTTGATCTTTACGAACTGAGCCCACATTGATGAAAATGATATTTTTTTAAAGAAGAAGACAACTTACGTTTACATGATTGAGGTGCCCCCCACCCTTTTAAAGGAAATGTGTTATCTGGGCTGTTTTTACAAGATCGTTTCTTAAAATGCAGTCCTCTGCCCTCCTGCTAGACTCAGCCATCACCGGGGCGAGACCTGGGCTTCTTGTTTACAGCCGATTCCCTACCAGATCCGACTTCTTGCTCAGGAAGAACCAACACATCATAGTAGAAGCTACTAGTGTGTTAAGCATTGACGATATGCCTGTAGCCTTCAGCAGGCCACCTCACTGATCCTTAGAGAAAGCTTGGCAATGAAATCGCCCACTTTACAGGTGAGCAAACCAAGACCTGAGAGGTTACAGAATGGCCCACATTCACTCCACTGACGGCAGATCCCAGCCCAGTCTGTCTGACTCCAAAGCCTGGATCTTGGTTTACCACACTTTTAAGTATGATAATCTCTTTTTAACATCAAAAAAATGTTCGTGGGTGCCCACGTAATAGTAGTTTTATTTTTAGTACTCTGATAGATAGTAGTACAGCAGGTGAAAACATTCCATTGTGACAGCAGCACATTCCTTAAATACCTTTGTAAGTGGGCTGTTCCCCAAAGCGCTGTCGCATGCTCACATACCCCACATCAATGGTATCAACTGCAGACAATGCCTGGCGGTGCACGGGTCTAGGCATCAGTCTCGATGCTGACCCCAGCCGCTGCTCCAGACCACAGAAGGGTGTCTCGCAGTTGGTCAGCAATCCTCACAGCCCTGTGGTCTGGGCCCTCTGCACGTGGCCTTCACCTAACCTCCAGCACCTGCGAAGCTGGCCCCGTGAACACCCCGATCACCATCCTGACCCAGCCCCTCGTCTCCTGGGGCCGCTAGCCCTGGCCGGCTGCCACTGGGTTCCCCAGTTACACTTGGCCTCTACATGCTGCTCCCGATGGCTGCTCTCCTTCCCCTCAATCCTCACATCTTCTGCCTTTTCTGCCCCATAGCCTAGTTGGTGCCAGTCCCACGTGTCTCTAATTATAGCTCCTCTCAGGCCCTTGCATTTTATTTGTCACTCTTATTCACACCTGAGAGGTGTGCGTTTTAATAGTGCTGCAGCCTTCTGGAAAAGGAGGCTCCTTGGTAGGGAAAGCGAGGAGGGCTTGCATCAGGAGGGTGTAAATGGGGGCAGCTGAGAAGGAACCGGGACGGCCCAGGAGCAGTGGGGCGAGCCAGGGGCAAGCCGCCAGCATGGGGGTAGGTGAGAGCTTGATGTAGTGATACGCTTGGACCCAGCATCTTAGACAGGATGATCTTCTCTCATGACTCACCATCTCTAATTATGTCTTGTCTCTACTTGGGGGAATAGCGACACGAACGAAAGTATGAAAAACGCAGAGGATTGTATTAAAAAACAAGGATTATTTCACCTTTGATTGACAAATGCAAAATGATTCACGCTGTTTGCTCTTTTGTCCTAACATGGGGAGATCTAAAAACTTAGAATTGAGACAGCTGGCTCTTTTGCGCTAGCGAAGTATGTCTGATACCACACAGACATACTTTGTTTTTCCTGCTTCACGTACAATTCAAGTTTTATTTCAATCGCACACATTCCAAATCAATAAACAGTTTACCATGCAGTTCATCAAAAATAAAATTATTACAGTGGTCTGAAGAAAGCCTTCAAAGCCTGTAATTTAGATCCTTAACTTACGCATTCTTCAAATATGTTGATATTCATTTATAAGTTAAATACCACCAACAGTCCAATATTAACACAACCACTAAGTTTGATTTCCACCAGAAATCCCCCCATCCAAAAATAAAAGAAAGAAAACAACGATCGCATGTGTACCTTAATGCCTTTGGTATCCTCTTCATCAAATGAGCCAATATCAAAGGCATCAGCAGCATTGACTTCGCCCCGGGGAGGAATCAAGGGTGGGGGGTACTGGAAGATGCCAACAAGAATAGTGCATTTATCAGATGACCTTTACGGCCCCGTCCCGACCTAACATTCTACAAAGACAGCACAGTGCAAGGTATCAGCATGCTACACTGTCACGCGTTTCTTTTTCTCTTTAAAATCTCTTTGACCGAGTCTCGCTCTGCCGCCCAGGCTGGAGTGCAGTGGTGCGATCTTGGCTCACTGCACCCTCTGCCTCCCCGGTTTAAGCGATTCTCCTGCCTCAGCCTCCCGAGTAGCTGGGGCTACAGGTGCGTGCCACCACGCCCGACTAATTTTTGTATTTTTTGTAGAGACGGGGTTTTGCCATGTTGGCCAGGCTGGTCTCAAACTCCTGACCTCGTGATCCACCCGTCTTGGTCTCCCAAAGCTCTGGGATTACAGGCGTGAGCCACTGCGCTCAGACACACTGTGTGGCTTTTCATTCAAGATTGTAACAAATCACATTTTGTATTTCGTATAAAAGCCTTTGCGCTGAATAGCTCCGAAGGGAGGCCCAGGATTTTAGGACTCATGGCCGAAGGCTTAAATATTTTCAAATATAACAAAATCTCAGGCCTGCATTATCAGTCCAGCTCAGCTTAGGAAAGCACATTCTCTCAGAGGACGCAACAACACCTTCAGGTTGCTGAAGCCACAACAGGGAGCAGGCCAGAACTACAAACACCTCAATGTAAATGTTAACTGAACCGGAGGTCAAAACCTAACTCGGCAGGACTAACAGATGAGTCTCTCTTTACTACAGAAAATCATTGTTTCTCTGCAGCCTGAGTTCACGCAAAAAAAAAAAAAAAAAAAAAAAAAAACAACCCTAAGGTTGATCATCAACATTTTTCTAAAAATTGAATTTGGGGTGTTTCCTGTATCAATGCAAATATAATGAAGCTTAAAATAAGGGAAGGAAATTACGCTGATATAAAATCATGCTAATTCTTAAATTGTGTAGTACGGGGCCAGAAAACAGACATGAGTTTATGGAAGAAGTTTCGTGTACATTTTATGGAGAGCTATGTAAAAACAGTCACATAATGAGATAAGAATTCGAGAATACGAGCACACACTAAAATAAGGCTCAATTATAGGTGCATTTGAATTAGCTAGATAATAGCTCCATTTTACCTTCTATTAGCTGATATGGGAGATATTTTCAAAATGTTTATATTAGGGAAATGAAGAGTGAAAAGGTGCCTCAAAGGGAATGGGCTACATGGTAACTCTTGGGTGACAGAGCACTGGGGACACAGGATGCCGGGGTAGCCAGAGACGGAGACAGAGACAGAGACGAGCGTGGAAGGGCGGCAGTCCCCAAGGCCGAGTCCCAGAGGGGTGAGTACCTTTTGTAAGTAGACATGCTGCCAGTCAATACCTTTGAAAAAGATGTGTTCTTTTACTTCCTGTGAGCTGGAGGAGAAAGTCGTAACAGTGGTAAGTATGCATTTGGAAATAGAAGAAATACCGTGCAAACTATCTGCTGTTAACAATACAGGGGAACAGGTATTTCCAGTTTTTTTTTTTTTTTTTTTTTTTTTAAGAAAGCAAATAAATATGCTTCCTTCAAAGCAACATGAGGAATGCTATGATGTTTAGAATACTGCATGCAGCGCCTGGGAATATGATCCCATATGATCATTTATTTGGGACCGTTATTACAGTTTAAGATAACCTAGAAATTTTCACATATATATACACATGCATGCACACATACAATAATTCTATACTCACGAGAACATAACTGAAATAAGAATTAAATTGGATATCTACACATTAAAGAAATTTATGGCAAATATCTACACATCACAATAGATAATATCATGGGAAAATGACAGGAATGTCAAGCACCACATTTACTCAGAAGCAAACTAGAGATCTAATAATACAATGTATACCGAAACGCTTTATAAATCGAACAAACAAGTTTTCTCTAAGGTCATGATTAAAACTCAAAGTACCCAGAGCGAAAGTTGGCTGGTCATGGTGGCTCATGCCTGTAATCTTAGCACTTTGGGAGGCCAAGGCAGGTGGACTACCTGAGCTCAGGAGTTCAAGATCAGCCTGGGTAACACAGTGAAACCCCGTCTCTACTAAAATACCAAAAAAAAAAAAAAAAAACGCTGATCATGGTGGCGTGCACCTGTAGTCCCAGCTACTTGGGAGGCTCAGGCAGAAGAACTGCTTGAACCCGGGAGGCGGAGGTTGCAATGAGCCAAGATCGCGCCATTGCACTCCATCTTGGATGACAGGGTGAGGATATGTCTCCAGAAACAACAAAAAAAGTTGCACACTGCAAGGAAAAGCCTGCGTGGGACAGCGGCACCCCCAGCACGTGCCACTCACTTTCTCTTTCTCTACATCTTGTCAAAGAGCTCAGGGCTGGTTCTTGGGGCCCTTCTGTAGTCAGTCCCTGGGGCGTCTCTCCCTGCCCAGGAGCTGGAGTGCCTTTATAGGACTCCCAAATCTGTACCCCAAGCATCGACCCTCACCCTTGCTCAGGCCACTCCTACGCCACAGCCCACTCAGAGGATGCAGGTGGGGCTGACACAGCCCTCTCAGCATAGCTCCCGCACGGGCCAGCCAGGATGGTCCTGGATGCTTCCCGTCCCTCACGCTGCACAGCCACCCCTCGCCCAGTCCCAGACCTGACTACTTCCTACCACCTCCCATCCTCCCGAGACTCTCACTTGGGGCTGCTGTTTCTGCTCAGGGTGCTCCTGGCATTTGTGTGCAGGGAAGGGATGACAGACGCCCCGCCAGAAACACTGAAGCGCCAGGACACTGGCACCCCCCCGCCTGAGCTGCTCTAATGCCTTCTCCTTTGACCTCTAGTCCTGCCCACCTGCAGCCCCACCCCGCTTCCTACAGCACCCAAATCATCTTCTTCCATGAACTCACCACTTCTCTGCTCAAAACTCTGCAAAGTTTGGCTTTGCATTTATTACCAAACCCAGTGCCTAGGAGACCTGGCTTTGCTGATTCTACCTGGAAGTCCTCCCTTGCTGACCCTTCCGCCTGGAGCGCTCCTCCCCAGGCCCCGCCCTCCACACGGGCACTTCCCACCATCTGGACCCATCTGACTTGATGTTTCTACACCGTGGCTTTCCCACAGCAGGAGCTCCAAGGCAGCAGGGGCCATCCCTATCATAAGCACTGCCTCTGCCACTTCACGGGGTGGCATCGGTGTGTGCCCAGAAAACAGACACTGAATGAAGGAATGGGATCCGAGTCAGAGCGGATCCTTGTGCATTTTTACTGGAAACACTTCGGTTGATTTTCTTATTGGGTTCCATTTTGTGCCCATCATTGTCCACACATTAAATGTGGTAAGCTAAGTAAGGAGTTTACTTGCATCTATCCAAGCAATTAGAAAGGCCCCGGAAAGAATGCTTCTGGTTCAAGCCTGTGACTGGGTGCAAGCGTGCATCTCCACACCTTCTCAGCAACCACTGGAATGGCGGGAAAGGAGTATGGAGATACAAACCCACCACAGGAACCAGGCATGGTGGCTCATGCCTGTAATCCTAGCTCTTTGGGGGCCAAGAGGGGAAGATCACTTGAGGCCAGGAATTCAAGACCCATCTGGGCAGCATAGCAAGACCCCTTCTCTATTAAAAAAAAAAAAAAAAAAATGTTAGCCAGGTGTGTGCTATGGGCCTGTGGTCCCAACTACTCAGGAGGCTGAGGCCAAAGTATTACTTGAGCCCAGGAGTTTGCGGCTGCAGCGAGCTATGATTGTGCCATTGCACTCCAGCCAGGGTGACAGAGTGAGACACTGTCTCTTTTTAAAAGACCAAAATAGGATGGACACGGTGGCTCATGCCTGTAATCTCTGCACTTTGGAAGGCCAAGGTGGGCAGATCACTTGAGGTCAGGAGTTTGAGACCAGTTCTGGCCAATATGGCAAAACCCCGTCTCTACTAAAAATACAAAAATTCGCTGAGTGTGGTAGCAAGCACCTGTAGTCCCAGCTACTCAGGAAGCTGAGGCAGGAGAATCACTTGAACACAGGAGGTGGAGGTTGCAGTGAGCTGAGCAGATGGCACCACTGCATTCCAGGCTGGGCAACAGAGTGAGACTCCATCGCAAAAAAATAAAAATGCAAGTAAAAATAAACATTAAAAAAAAAAATCCACCATGTGAGAGAGAGAGGGAGGGCCATCAGGAGACAAGAGGGGGTGTTGACACAGGGACAGTGACTGTTGGCAAAGCAGGGCAGAGCTACCACACTGAGGACGGAGCCAGTGTGCCGAGGTCCAGCACACCACAGTGTGTGGGACACAGGACTGGAGCTCTGGGCATGGACCCTGTGGCTCTGAGCAGCACACCTGCACACACAGGCACACCCATACCCGCCACACTTCCTTCCCCCGCACCCACCTCCAGAACACGTGCAGCAAGGTGTTTATTCTAACATGGAATAAGAAAGCCCTGAAAAGTTCTACTTTTAAGAAATTAAACCTGCTAAAGATTTTAAAAAGGAAATTTAAAAAGGGTTGAAAACATATACCACTGGCCAGTAGAACAAATAAAGCAAAGATGCAGATAATATCGGAGATCAGGAGCGCAGAGGCCCACGTCTGGAAAGGGACGCCAGCATCCAGCTAGTAAGAGTTCTGCCGGGCGCGGTAGCTCAAGCCTGTAATCCCAGCACTTTGGGAGGCCGAGGCGGGTGGATCACGAGGTCAAGAGATCGAGACCATCCTGGTCAACATGGTGAAACCCCATCTCTACTAAAAATACAAAAAATTAGCTGGGCATGGTGGCGCGTGCCTGTAATCCCAGCTACTCAGGAGGCTGAGGCAGGAGAATTGCCTGAACCCGGGAGGCGGAGGTTGCGGTGAGCCGAGATCGCGCCATTGCACTCCAGCCTGGGTAACAAGAGTGAAACTCCGTCTCAAAAAAAAAGAGTTCTGTGGGAAGCAGGGAAGGAGGAATGGCAAATAAAGAAAGGAAGGGTGCTCTCGAAGCTGAAGCACGCGAGTCCCCGAGCACAGGGGACGCTCCACGCCTGCCATCACGAGTGGGAACTTAGCTCCATGGCCCGCACAGACTGTCCGCTGGTCCACGATAAAGCCGGAGCTTCAAAGTTCTGGGGGAAGATTATTATTTATTTAGAATTCTATGTCTGGCCTAAATATAGCAGGAGGCAGGGAGTCGAGTGAGTGGCAGGTTCATACCAGGAGGCTGCAAAGGGAAGTGCTGGGTGATAAGATGCCAATTAGCAGAAATAGAGCACCTTTTTCCCAGTGCAGCCGCAGGCTGCGTCCTCCCGAAACATCAGGGAGAAACAAAGTCCACAATGTGCTTTTTTGAGAGAAAGATATATGTTTATCTCTTATATATATACATGTTACATATGTATATACATAACTACGTAACTTAAAGTTTATTACAAGCTAAGTAGAAACCATGAAATGAACATTTGTGATTCCACGTGACAGTGTAAATACCCCTTCTTCATTGGCAGCTATTGAAATGAACCTATATGCAAAGCACGGAGATTGATTACGGTCACAGAATAGGAAGTAAGCAGTATCATATTGATACTGTAAAAATAAAAATTCGCATGAAAGATCATGAGAGAGAAGAAGACAATGAAAGACGGGAATGTTGAAATCCTTGACTCAGATACTGTTTCTAGTTGGGAAAAGGTACAACTGGGTTAAGCACAGGATTGAAAGCTACAGAGGCCAGCAAAAGAGGAACCCCAAATAGCATTTCAACTCTTTTGAGAGGTGAAGGAAGGGAAGGCTACGGAGACAGTAAGAGTGAGCTAAATCTTCATCTATTAGAGCAGGAATAGGTAATTTTGCAAATTGCCTTAATAAGGACATACTCATATATAAGTATAGTATTTAGTTATCTATGTAAAATGCTTATGCTATATGTATAATATGCACACTAAAAAATACATATACATATGTATGACATACATATAGGTAATACACAGTTAAAAGTTATTTCTTATGCCAAGCAAGCCTGGGGGTGAAGAGATACAGGAGAAAGGTCTGGCTTCAGTCTCTCTATAAGCTTTCTAAATACTACTGTTTAGAGTGTTTGGGGCAGGGGAATAGTGAGTACATGTCAGAGATAGCAGTTACTCAGTTATGCATGAGAGAAATATGTGAGAATCTGATCAGAATGTTAAACTGCCATAATCACAAAAATAACCATCGCTAAAAAACAAACGGACTACAAAATATCAGAATTCATGTCTATCATCCACAAGGTCAATCTTTAAAAGTTAAAGAGTGGGCTGGCCAGGGTGGCTCACGCCTGTAATCCCAGCACTTTGAGAGGCCAAGGTGGGTGGATCACCTGAGGTCAGGAGTTTGAGACCAGCCTGGCCAACATGGCAACACCCTGTCTCTACTAAAAATACAAAAATTGGCCAGGCGTGGTAGCTCACACCAGTGGTCTTAGCTACTCAGGAGGCTGAGGCAGGAGAATTGTTTGAACCCAGGGAGTGGAGGTTGCAGTGAGCCGAGATCACGCCACTGCACTCTAGCCTGGGCGACACAGCAAGACTCCATCTCAAAAATAAAAAAAGCAAAAAAGTGAGTGACTTCTTCAACTTCTTAACTATAAAAACACATAGGACAATATATGTATATTTCCCATGTGATAATTTTTTCCCCCTTTCAAGTCAAAATGGAAGATTTTAAGGACTAGGGATGACTTTTGATAGGCAGTATTTAAAAATCACTCTTTTGCTCTTCTGGGAAAGACACCGAAAGGCAGGAACAATGGCCTACCCGCCTCCGTGACAGCCCAGCCTCTTGCTAACGTCTCGCTGCAGCAAGCCCTCCAAAAGGGACTTCAGTTCAGGAGAGAAGGCGTCTGGAAGTTCCACATTCTGGAGGAAAGACAAGTAAGATTTTTAAAATCTGTTCATGGAAACAGTATCCTACCAACCAACCAGTTAGGTTAGGTTAAAGGCTATTGCTTGGATAAGAATAGTATTAAAAACTGCAGTCTCATTCGGAATTAATATTTACTCTATAGAAACATAAAAAGGTCACTATTCAGTTGCAAAATCAATCAGGCTGGGTCCAGACCAGAAGAACCGAAGGCACTGTCATTCTTCGGCGTCTCAGTCATTTCTCCTTTTCTCCGATTTCTTTATTTTGTTCTCTAATTTTTTTAGCTTCTTCATACTGTTTGTTAGTAAATCCTGATGTCTGCCTTGGCATCTATTTCCATTCATTTTTCTCCTAGAAATTCTTTTAGAAATTATATCTTCATTTATTTGTTTTAAGAAAGCACATTTTTTATTATGTTGATATGATATATAGTTTTCTATTTCCTATAATATTTTATGTGATGGCCACTTTTATTATTGATAGAATGAAACATGACAATTATCATGCAGAAGAGAGTAGAGTTCTGAATCGCCTTACCACGGTGAGGGTCATCCGGTCAATCTCATGCTTGTCTTTGGTTTTATGTTGTCTGAAAGGGCTGTGACTGTAGAAATAAAGAATTCTTCTATTAAAACGTGGCATTAGGTGAGACAGCACATACCATTGCCTAACATTTGGGTAAAGTATTACATCCTATCACTACTCATTCAAAACTGGAGAAATGCAAAAGCTATCAACAGGTATCATTTCCACAGAAAAACTGGTGAGCAAATGTTACGTCCTGAAATAGCAGGACTTAGGTCTTACTTGAACTGCCTGACTCTCCCTTCCGTGAACTTGTGGCCCTAGAATACGCTGTTCCAATGGAAATACCATTAGAAAAGAATTTGTAACTAGCCAACAGGTAATCATGAGAACGAAAGTCATTTATGTAACATTTGTCATACAAGGGTTTGAGCTAAACAGTAACTTTTCACATAAATCTCTCAGGAAAATGGATATTGGTCCCTCAAACAGCCCAAGGAACAGCAGTTGAAGCAAAACATGACGGAGATGAAACGATTCACCCCTAGAAACCAGTAATTTTAAGCAATACATCCCTTTGATGAAAACAGAAATAAACTAACCACACACCAGCAGGTTCTCCACAGCTCTAGGCACTTCCTCATGTCTTTCCTGTACAGAACCCCAGACTCCAGGGTCAGAAAAGCTGGGTTCAAGTTGTGACTTGACTGTTTACTGACTGTCAGCCAGACAGAAACCTTCAGTACCAATTCTTCATCTGTAAAGCAGCGATCAAGCCACATACTTCACAGAAGCGGTGAAGGGAAAAGCTAAAGTGATACCTATACAAGTAGCCAAGACAATCGGAGCACGTGGTAGGAACCGGATACAGTAATCACTCGTGGAAATAAAGATTACTCTTACTGGGCAGGGCATGGTGGTGGCTCAAGCCTGTAATCCCAGCACTTTGGTAGGCTGAGGTGGGTGGATCACAAGGTCAGAAGTTCGAGACCAGTCTGGCCAACATAGAAACCCCGTCTCTACTAAAAATACAAAAAATTAGCCAGGCATGGTGGTATGCGCCTATAATCCCAGCTACTCAGGAGGCTGAGGCAGGAGAATTGCATGAACCTGGGAGGCAGAGCCTACAGTGAGCCAAGATCGAGCCATCGTACTCTAGCCCAGGTGACAGTGTGACTCCGTCTCAAAAAAAAAAAAAACTCTTACTTTATAAAATGAATGTCTACTTGGTGAACTATGTAAAACAGATTATTCTTACTCTTTCTCATGTTTTTAAAACTTTGGAGAAGCTGACTTTCAAAGGAAATCTTATCATTAAAAAAACTATTAAATATGCAAACTAGAATACCATGGTTTATTTTTCACTTTGAAAGCATGAGATTGAATTTTCTTACAGCAAGACATGCCTGGAAAGTAGTAATCCTATACATTTACTTATAAGGCAGATATGACATAAGCTGAGGCAGGCAGGATATTATGTAAAATATTTGAATATTAACTCCATAAAATGGATTAGAATGTCGAGCACATAAATCAGTGAGATTCTAAAAAAGAATTAAAATGCCACTCATCTTCTACTGCTACTTACTGCTACTGAGCTGGTCATCCTACTGAATTAATTAGGTTATACATAGAACTATCTCTTGAGATTATTACATTTCAGACCATTTAGTGTCTGAAACACTTGGATTTTCTTTTTGTACAAGAGAGGGCACTCCAGCCCTTTATTTCCTTCCATATCATTTCAGGCAGTGAAATACAAGCTAATTCCCGTCTCCTCAAAGCATTAATTTGAAAAAGAAAAAAAAAAAGAGAAAGAAAAAGAAAGAAAGAAAAGATAAAAACAAGGTAAATTAGCACCCAGTAAACTTTTGTTAACTTTGAAAATAGATTTTGATTGGAAATATTCTTTTTGCCTTATTTCCAAGGAAAAAAATGTACCATTACTACATTTAAAAAGCAGATGTAAAAGCAAACAATATCTGTTATTTATGATTTTTAAAAACGTATCATGCTTGCATCATTCTCTTTTATACAAACTCCCCGGAAATACTAATGTGTTTATAGTTGCAGAGAAAAGGAATGAGAGTTGATCAAATCTTAGGAAAGCCTCAGCCTCCCGGCTTGACGCTGAGCTGCTTCCACCCAACGGTGCTCCTTAATGGATTAAAAGGGATTAAGTGAAGGTCTGGTGTTTTGACAAATCCCTCGGACCTGGCTCCTGCATGCAAAGCCAGAGGTCCCCACTCCTGTGTCTGGCCCCCGAGTCCTCACGGCTGCGCAGGAAGGAAAGGGCTGTACCCTGACCTTGCTGAGGAGGCCTGCTGTGTTCTGACACAAACGCTCTGTGCTAAATTTAACAAGTCTTTCATGAGACCACAGGGAGGCTTACGAGGGGACTTGGAGTTAAAGTTAGTGGTGCCAAAACTATTTCCAGCACACGGGCCCTATTGCTACAAATTCCTTTTATAAATATAGCGATTCCATGTCCGGCTCAATAAGAAATTATCAGAAAATGCTCTTCAGCTATTCAGTTCGATGCTGCCATGTTCAGACGGTTTGGTCTTTCCAGTTGAAATCTTGACGCACATCTGTTTCCAATGTATTCTTGATTATTCTTTGTGAACAAAGCCAAAGACTCGGTTTCTATTTTGGAAAATGTTAAAGAAAACCTATGATAGTAATAATCTCCATTCTGAGCGAGGCACGTGGTGAGCACAGATCCTGTGTGATCGCAGCTGCTCCCTGATGCAGCCGCTTTAAATAGGAGACAGTAACGGGCCTGTCAACAGCTTACAAGGCATGGCCAAGTTCTTCCTATGCAACACGCTGGCTGCATCAGGGAACGCTGTGGGAAAAGAATTCACATGTGCAGTGGTCAAGTGTAGCTTTCTGAACTGCAGATATTATGGAACAGCTGCACGTTTCCCTTACATGAGCAGGAAAATTGTTCAGGACATTAGAAATGATGCGGGAACACACGCGCCCCCCGACCCCAAGTTAACTCTGTATCATATTCATGGGAAAACAATGGGTTCAAAAATTATGTGATTAAAAACTCTCACATCAAAAGTTAATTTTTAAATACCCCAAAGATGGCATGTTACATTACATGTGCATTTCAAACCTAAGCCAGTAGCTGCCAAAATATTCATAAACTGCCCTTTTTCCCCCTCCTGGAACAAACTCAATAGTGCCAGGCAGCATTCAGTTCTACTCAGGCCACTGCTCAGGCTCCTCCTTGTGTCTGACAACTCCACAGGGAGACCATCAACGGTGATGAGCTTAAGATCGAGGCCACTGTCACATCAATTGATTTCCTTAACAGACATCTTAAATCCCGGTGAAGATCATGACGGCAGCTCCACAGATGCGCAACACGGACGTGTCTTCATACACAGATGCTCTCTAGTACCTGACAAAGTCATCTGAAATAGAAGTAGTGACCAGCACCCAAAAATGGGGCATATGCTTGGCTCGGTCAATCACTGTGAGTCCAGGGATGCAAAATTCCTTCTCAAGTCTTGACAACGTTCTCCCATTCACACTCCTTCTCCAAATGCCTTGCAGTATTCTTGTAGGGGATGAAGACAAAATGAAGCGGCAGAAAGGTGTTTCAGCAGAAGCGAAGGGGATCTGAGCAGAGAACACAGACCCTTCCTTGGTGACCACGGATCCAACCTCACGGCACAGCTGTGGGAGGAGGGAGGGGTAACTTGCTCTGGGGCGGTGCCATTTGGGGCTAAATGATTCCTTGCTAGGGTGCCACGGGGGCTGTCCTATGTACCATAGGATGCTGATGATCATCATCCTTGGCCTCTACTTAGGAGATGCCAGTAGCAGCCCCTCCCCAAGTTATGACGACCAAGAATGCCTCCAGGCATTGCCCGGTGCCCCCCGGGGCTGACGACGGGTGCCCCAGGAGAGTGCCAGGATGCAGAGGGCACGGGGCCGGAGCCTGTGTCCCGGAGGCCCTGCCTAGCCAATCTCCTCCTCCGCTCAGTTGATTTCTTAGGCCTCGCGTGCCTGAGAAAAAGACAGCTGCCTGCGGCTCCCTTCTATACAATGCGGGAAAAATGCACAGGATACTGACAGGCATATTTTTGAGGTTTTCCCACGAGCAACTTCGTGAGGAAGTAGAACAGGTGGCGTGATCCCCTGGTTCACAGCTGAGGCGGCGAAGGCTCCTGCCATAGTCCCACCTCCTCTCCTCCTCGCCACAGGGCTTTGCTCCTCAGAGGCCCTGCACACACTTCAGTACTGAAACTTGACAGACACTGATTTTGGTCATGACATCGTTATTCTCCCAATCATCCTGAACCTAAACCGCACCATCTTTAACGCCGATCCTTCCCTATGCAACCATCTATTTAAAAAACAAAACCAGACAGCCGGGCGCGGTGGCTCAAGCCTGTAATCCCAGCACTTTGGGAGGCCGAGAGATCGAGACCATCCTGGTCAACATGGTGAAACCCCGTCTCTACTAAAAATACAAAAAATTAGCTGGGCATGGTGGCACGTGCCTGTAATCCCAGCTACTCAGGAGGCTGAGGCAGGAGAATTGCCTGAACCCAGGAGGCGGAGGTTGCGGTGAGCCGAGATCGTGCCATTGCACTCCAGCCTGGGTAACAAGAGCGAAACTCCGTCTCAAAAAAAAAAAAAAAAAAAAAAAAAAAAAAACCAGAAAGAGAAAGCACCCCACGGAAACACTGAAGTGCCGTGGACTCTCGTTCTGCAGTACCACCACGTCATCCGCTCCTGTCAGGCTCCACGGCCGCCGCGCAAGCTCACTGCCTTTTGCCCACATTCGTCTGCCTGCCTCCTGTCTCGGTCTCTGTCCTTCCGTGGCTCCAGGCTGCTTCCAGAATCATCTTACTGAAAAGCCTTCAGCCTCCGGGGCCTGGAGGATAAAGGGCAAGATTCTCAGCTCGGCGTTCGAGATCCTCCCCAGGGCTGACCCCACCGTCTGAGCCTTCTCCCTCGGCACCCGCTCCTGAGAAACACAGAAAGCTGACATTTCCCCTGCTCCCAGCCTTTGTATTGTCATCCCATCTTCAAAGCCTGCTCCATACACTATCTCCTGCCTGAGGTCAACCCTACGCTTCCAGGTGAGAACTGGTTCTCCCACGACTGTGCTCCCAGCACATCGCTGCGGTCGAAGTCGGCACAGCTCGGCCAGCTCCGGATCCGGCGTGCACACCCACAGCTCTTCTCCTGCACTGCTTATCCCTCAAGGACTCCGTGTGGCTCCCTTCCTGGCTAGCCGGCTTCCTTGTTTGCTTTCTTCCCTCCCTCCTTTCCTTCATTCCCTTTCCCATCTCTCTTCCCTCTTCTTCCTTCCTCCTTCCTTCCCTCCCTCCCTCCTTCTCTTCCTCTCTCCCTTCTTCCTCCTTTCCTCCCTCTCCTTCCTCCCTCTCCTTCCTCCTTCCTCCTTCCCTTCCTCCCTCTCCTTCCTCCCTCCCTTCCTCCCTCTCCTTCCTCCTTCTCCTTCCTCCCTCCCTTCCTCCCTCTCCTTCCTCCTTCTCCTTCCTCCCTCCCTTCCTCCCTCTCCTTCCTCCTTCTCCTTCCTCCCTCCCTTCCTCCCTCCCTTCCTCCCTCCCTTCCTCCCTCTCCTTCCTCCTTCTCCTTCCTCCCTCCCTTCCTCCCTCTCCTTCCTCCTTCTCCTTCCTCCCTCCCTTCCTCCCTCTCCTTCCTCCTTCTCCTTCCTCCCTCCCTTCCTCCCTCTCCTTCCTCCTTCTCCTTCCTCCCTCTCTTCGTCCCTCTCTTTCCTCCCTCTCCTTCCTCCCTCTCCTTCCTCCTTCTCCTTCCTCCCTCCCTTCCTCCCTCTCCTTCCTCCTTCTCCTTCCTCCCTCCCTTCCTCCCTCTCCTTCCTCCCCCTCCTTCGTCCCTTCCTCCCTTCCTCCTCCCTCCCTCTCCTATTTTCCTTCCTTACCCCTTTCCTTCCCCCACAGCATCAAGCACAGTCTCTTGTATATTACAGGTACTCACTCAATAAATGCTTATCACATTTAATTTAAATCACTTAAGTCAAAAAACGTTTCCTGCTCTTTGGCTTCAGTGCTATATCCTATCTGTGAGCGACTTCTCGACAATCAAGGGAGTGGCATGAGATAATAAATCCTATGGGGGAGATCCATCGAATCCTGTCTATCACCCACTGGAAGGATTCTTTCTGTTTCAGTCTCAATCAATACTCAACAGTGACAGGGAGCCAGCTATCTGTGGGGTACAGCCCTCCTTCACTAGGTAGCTCAAATGACTGGGCATTCTTGTACCAAACTGCGATCTTTCTCTTCAAAAATGCGCCCCTCTGGAGTTACATGGCATGCAGAGGGACGCGTTCAACAAGACGGCCTTCTAGCAGCTGGAGCCGGCCATCCTATGGCTGCCTTGAGTTCTGCACTCAGCTCTTTCGGTCTTTCCGAAGTGGTGAGTTCTCACTATTTTACCGCTCTCCGCTGGTCTCATCCACCCTCCCACCCTCATGGCCCTCCTAGGGATGTCTTCCTGTCTGTCAAGACTCTTCTCAGTGGGAGCCCCGCTGAACATAATGCTTCCATCAAGGCAGACCGAGGACTTCACAAAGGAATTCATATCTTCCAGTTCAATACGACAAAGCTGAATTCCGGCCGAAGAAGACAGTTCATTTTGTTAGCCACAAGCCACACTGTTGGAGCAGACAGAGTTATTTAACAAAACCCTCTAGTCTTTTAAAAAATGAAGTCCTGTTACACCAAATCCTCGTCAGCCTAGATGCACCGACGTTTTAACAACCAGAATCACAAAACAAACAAGTACACAAAGTCCTAAATACAAGACTTGGGAGATTGCCCGATTTTACTGCTGATTTTTGAATTCAGCAGCGTGGCTGTTGCACAGAGTTTTTGTTTTGTTTTGTTTTGTTTTTTTTTTATCATCTCCAAATTCTGTAGGTAGGGACTGTCTGTCTCCAACCACATCTCCAGCAGAGATCCAGAACAAAGACCTCCTGGGTGTCTTCATGCACTCCATATGCACAGAAGCGACGCCACTGGGGAAATGGCTTTCTCTGGTTTGCTTAGATAAACTCTCTAATTAGGTCAGCTAGTCTGATGACATGAATTAAGGCCATCCAGGCTCCACAAATACAATAATTCAATTAAGGAATAACAGAACCCAACTTTCTAAGCAATAATACAATTTTAGATCACAAGTGAATGCAAAGCAGACAACAACTGATTACCAGAGTCCTGCCGAAACAGAGGGTGCTCAGAACCTGGTTTTGGGGGAGCCTGGAATTCAGCCTCTCTCCAGAACAGTGCTAAATGTATTAAGAGGATGCAGTGGTGCTCAATTAGGCTCTCCGATGGAAAGGTACAACATTTAGCAAACTATCAGGACTGCAATTCTTATGAAAAGTATTCAAAGGAAAACCTGGACAAGGACATTTTAATGTAAAATGCTTTTTGTATTATGAGTCTGAATGATTAAAAAGTTTAACTGAAGATTTCCATTAAAATTAGCTAAAAGACTTAGAATTAATGGAAACAGTAATACAATTGTTGAGCGTTTAATACAGGCATCCCCAAACTTTTTACACAGGGGGCCAGTTCACTGTCCCTCAGACCGTTGGAGGGCCGCCACATACTGTGCTCCTCTCACTGACCACCAACGAAAGAGGTGCCCCTTCCTGAAGTGTGGCGGGGGGCCGGATAAATGGCCTCAGGGGGCCGCATGCGGCCCGCGGGGCCATAGTTTGGGGACTGCCTGGTTTAATATGAAAACATATTTTGAGAGTGCTTTTCTCTCATCATCTTTTCTACTTTATTTCACCATCTTTGGTAGTTCAGAACAAGGGCCAAGTATACTAGCTAGCTTTAAAACACACGTGAATTTCAGCATTTTCCCCAGTGAATGCAAGCTTTTAAAATGGGTTTACTGGTTACGTATGGTGGCTTATGCCTATAATGCCAGCACTCTGGGAGGCTGCGATGGGAGGATGGCTTGAGGCCAGGAGTTCGAGACCAGCCTGGGCAACATTTGGCAAGACCTTATCTCTGAAAACAGTTAAAAAATTATCCAGGTGTGGTGGTGAATGCCTGTAGTCCCAGCTACTCAGGAGGCTGAGGTGGAAGGATTGCTTGAGCCCAGGAGGTCAAAGCTGCAGTGAGCCATGTTTGTGCCACTGCACTGCACCCGGGCAACAGAGAGAGACCCTGTCTAAAAACAAATACAATCAAATAGGTTAACTTTGGGTTTTCAACTTTTTTTTTTTTTTTTTTTTGGTAACTCTTAAAATTCTGTAAGCCCCCAAGATTATGAATAACTAATTTCTAGGGAAGAAATTATTCTACCTTTTAAAATTACCTACATTTCAAAACAATACTTATTCCTACAACGTGGTTTTCCAGTGGAAATAATTCAAAGCAGTCTAATTTTAGGTTTAAAAGAATCCTGATTCCTACATGGTAGAGAATAAAAATACAAAGCCATAAGCTTTTCTCCAGCAGCTTATGGGGAAGCAGCTTTCACTTTTCTAAGGCAGGGTCTTCCAGATCAGCATGCGGCTTAAAGATCACTGTGGGATTTGAAATATCATTAGAGTCTAGTCATTTCTACGTATTTTCAGTGTTCGTCCAAGTTCCTGCTGCCATGAGGACAGCACTAAACGGATGCGTTGCACTCACCCTCTCAGAAGTTTGAAAAGCATGCAGCCCAGGGAGAACCAGTCGGCACTGCTGTCGTACGCCGTCCCCTTCTGCAGCACCTCCGGAGCCATGTACCCATGGGTGCCACTAGGGAGAAGACAGTGTACACGCAGTTATGAGAGCATGCCCGCTTCAGAAAACACTAACAGCGCCCCAAGGTCTGGGTGTCATTCATTAGATGGCAGCAGCTGTAAACAAAGGAGAAGGGACAATTGGGCCTCACCGCAAACGTGACGCACTGAACATCCAGTGGGAAAACGATCTCTTCTGCCTTCGCTCGTATATGGATTAACAGAAATAAGCACGTGAAATAAACATGTAAAATGCAAGTTCAGAATCTCATTAGTCCTTCTCTACTCCAGCTACCAAGAGCAAAGGTTCTCCTGCTGTTTAGCTCTTGTGATGGAGTTGTGTGGGGTCGGGTGAGGTGGGGAAACTGACGATGAACAGGTGATCACACTGCGTGCTGCGGACCTTGAAGGCATGGAGACACCCACCCCTGTGTGGTGCCACCCACTGTGCTGAGGATCCGAGCTCGAAGGGGCATCGGCTTGATGGTGGTCAGCAACAGACCCCAGGGGCATGGGGAACAAGGAGGAACACGAGCCTGGTCGTACACACGAGGGAGAAATCACGTGTCAGGTTTCACAAGCTGCAGACGGTCAAAGGACTCAGCACTAAGCGAACGGAAGATGATTTTCAGGAAATTGAGAAAAATCACTTGAGAGGACCACCATTTGGTGGATCATCTGCACCATCTGCAACTCGAAAGCCCCTCCCGCTCTGGCACTCTCCACCTCTCCTTGAAGGGCTAAGCTGGCCTGGCTGCAGCAGGAAGCGCGAGGCAGCCCGTGGGGAAATTTCCAAGGTGTAGTCTGAAAGGGCCCGGGCAAAAGCCATTATCTGTATGCCCTACAACCCCTTCATCCACAAGTCTTTTTCTTCCTCAGTACAATGGGTGATAAGATAACATCTCTACCTCTCAGGGTTGCTGTGAGTCCTGCAGGTATGCCACGGGCTCACATACAGGAGCAGCTCGATTCGTGTTGGGGACCATGCTTATCTTAGTAGAAGAATTTTTAACTTGCTTATGCTCAGCAACAGTGGGAATCTACTCAGATAAATGATCCTGGATCACTAACAAGCCTTCGTCATCACTGGCACTGGTTACTCTCCGTCTAAGAGGTGCATTCTGAGAGTTGTATCAGACAGTGAAAACAGGCGTGGGTCCATCAGGGCAAATCTAGCACTCTAGAAAGCTCAATCAGCCCAAACCCATGATAGTGTAAGGTCACCAGGCCACACCATGAGAGCATCGGAGATTTCTACGAGGGGCATCCAAGCCATTTTCTGGGAAGGTTTAATTTCAGCGTTGGAGAAAGTCCTTTTCTGTGGCCTTTTAGCCTGTACTTATCAGGATCAAATCACAGTTCTGGAATGGAAAGACATCTACAAGGATAAATAAGATAAATGAATGCAGACCAGTCAGTCCCTCATGCTTACACCGGATTCAACTAAAACTCAACGCTGGACTGCCTGTCGCCGAGGGTTACTGATTCTGCCTATAAGGGCAGCTGCTAATGCTTCCTGACGCATTCCGTTAAAGATCTGTACTACTATTAATACTGAATGAACGCCTGGACGTTTTAAGACACTGTGACATGAGACATGGCTTTGTGTTCTTAGATAAAATAAGCTAGGACTCAAACCAGTCACTGACAATCTGTTCAACTCCAAAAGTTTCCCTTTGATTTTTCATGGCTCCTTCACAGTTAACTTCTAGTTTACAATAATTGATGATTCTTTCATTAAGTGGACTAAGTCTAAGCTCAAATCAAAAAACCTCAACTACAATACTACTTTGGAGGTGGGCCAGCCGCTAGATGAAGTCTGAGAATCACATCTACAGCTTTGAGAAGATCTGAGAAACCAAGTTCAGGGTGAAACCGTAGCTAAAAATCTTCAGTCTTGTACTGAACAGATCATTCCAAAGCCTCAGGCAGCTCATCCACACAGGCGTAAAGATTACAGGCTTTGGAATCAGACAGAACTGGATTATAGGTCTAGCCCCACGGCATATCAGCCATGTGACCTGGTTCAAGTTACTTAATTTCTCTGAAGCTCAATTTCCACACCACAAAAATTGGATAGTGATTGCTATAATTTCTGGGGTTTCCAGTAAGGATGACTTATGCTCGCCTGGGACAGCTGGTATTCAGTGAGTGGCACAGTGAATGCTGCTGATACTGCCACCACTCCATATGCTGGTCGCTCAGGGGATAAGTTCTTGAGGCTGCTAGTTCCAGGAGGTCAGGGGTCAGCTCTGTCTTACCATGGCATCACCAGCAGCTGGCATGCCGCAAATGTTAAATAAAGACTTGCTGAATCATTGAGTTAACTCAACCCTCACAATTATCACAGGAGATAAATATCATTGTCCTCTCCTCTTCACGGAAGAGAAAAATGAGGCTTACACAACTCGGAAGAAGAACCCAAACCCAGATCTGTTGGTTCCAGAGCCTTTGCTCTTAACCGCAGAATGCCTCCTTTATTTAAAATTACAAGGTTTTTGACAGGGCACTTTGGGAGGCCAAAGTGGGAGGATCGCTTGAGTCCAGGAGTTGGAGACCAGATTGGGTAACATAGGGAGACCCCATCTCTATAAATTTTTTTTAAATTAGCTGAATGTGGGGGTACATGACGGTGGTCCCCACTACCTGGGAGGCTGAGGTGGGAGGATTGCCTGGGCCCAGGAGGTGGAGGCTGCAGTGAGCCATGATCATGCCCCTGTATTCCAGCCTTGGAGACAGAGCAAGACCCTGTCTCAAAAAAATAAAAAATGTAAAATGTTATTGTCCCTTTCCCTTTTTAAAGTAGTGGCCTCCTTCCTGATCATTATTTAAACATGGAAACCAACCTTCTCCGTCCTACGTCTTTACAGAAGCTGTTCAAATATTGTGCTTTGCAGAGCAGGCAAAAGCACAGCCCAGCGTTCCTCAGAGCTGACATGTGAATTACAGCAAAAAGTGGGCTAAGTCCTGTTAGGAAATAAATAACTCTATATCTGAAAATTAATTCCTCTGGAAGATTATTTCTTATGAACCCTTGGATTCATATTTAGTTATGGCTATACTAAACTGAACAAATTAGCATACCAAATAGCTGTGGCATTAAAAATTCAAATGAGTCTCTTAGAAGAATCTGATGAACTCCCTGAGAGAAGCTTATATGACCACAGGTTCTGACCTAATAATCGTAAAGTGCTAGCAAAATGCTTTTATCACCATACATTCTGTAGAAAAAAGAGAAATATGTTTACAGAAACGGTGCTACTCACTATTAACATTTGATCAGAGCTTTAAAAGGCAATTTTGATTTAATGCAGTCCTTCATAAAGTATTGCAGTTCAGAACCACTTTACTTCTGGTTATGCAAAGAGAAGGATCTGTGGCTTATTTTCCGCACAGATGCCTGGATTCGGACCACTGGGAGATTTTTTTTCAAGACCATTCAACACAAAGATGAATGTTAGTTCAAGATGTACAATAAAACGTAATTTTAAAAGATTCAGTGCGAAGGAGACATTTAAAAAGACAAAATCAGGCAAAAGTTGTCTGCTTTTCCACAAACTGTACATGTGTTCATAGTTTCCACCCAGATCATCGCCTCGCAAAGAAACAGAAATGAAAACCAGTACCCGTTCCATGGCGTTGCTGCAGAGCCCCAGGAGAACTGTCCTACGGTCCTGCCGTCTTTTTAACAACCCCGGGTACAGAGAGAAATCCTCAGGTCAGGGCCAACTCGCACTGATCAAGCATGTTTCTCCACCCCCAGAAGCATTCTGCTGCTCCCCAGGTGTCAGGTGTTGACTGAGGGCTGTGCCCTCAAGAGCTCCCTCTGTGTGATCACGTAGAGGACCAGTGTGAGGCCCAAGTCTAACCATATGACCCGCTGTGAACACCTAAACTGCAAGTGGATGACTTGTTTCATTTAATTTAAAAAAAGAGAGAGAGAAAGAGAACTATTCCTAATTTCTCTTCAGGAAAAAAAAAAAAGAAGAAAAGCCTTTTTGAAAAAGAAAGAAAAGTAGATGAAGAAACTTGGCCCCGAGGACCTCCCTTGGCCACATCCACGCGGCTGCCTCTGTGCCTTTCTGGGCGCAGTCTCTTTCACGTATCCTTAGGACGATGTTCAGCGGTTTATTACTACCATTACTTACAGATGAAGTAACTGACTGACTTCTAGGTCACACAGGCAGCAGGGACTCTGGTTTCTTGCTGAGGTCCTGACTGTTTCTGAGAGACCACCCTGGCCCCTGGGCAGGTTCAACTACACCGTGAGTTAATTCCCACTCCTCACAGACGGGGAGAGAAGACACCCCACTCTTATCTCCTTTCCCGCAACCTGTGACGTTGGATCTTCCTGACATACTGAAAATCACCACTGGCAAGAGAAAGGGGGTGACAGTTGGCCAAGCCTTTGAAGGGGCACGAGATAAATGATGGTGAACCGATGTTGATGCACTACTTACACGCTCGCATGAGGCTTCTTTTTGGAAAAATCACAAGCAAGACCAAGATCCGATATCCTCGCGTGTCCGTGTTCATCCAAGAGGATATTTGCTGGCTGAACAGAAAGAGAATGATCTTTAGGAGCATCCCAAATGCCATGGGGACTTTGAGAACTTTAAGTGCAGATGCTTGACATCTTACTATTTTATCATAGTTTGTTCCTAAACACAAATTACAGCTTTATACGTGGAAATAGGGCATGATACTGAGAATAACATTTTTCACGTTAACTTCAGCAGCAAAGTGGGAATGATGGGGTGAAGGATTCCTTTCACTACAAAATGAAACATGGGGCAGGTCACACAGGAATGGTGGGACCACAGGTCCTCGGCATTAAAAGCGTGTCCTTTCAGTTTACCACGGACTGCAGCGCAGCCAGGGCGGCACTGCCTCGCAAGGGTGGGACCTGAGTCCTCCAGCCTCTGGGCTTCTGTGAACCACAAGGATTCCTGAGAGTGAAGCCATGAAGCACAGGACAGAGAGGAAGCTTTCAGGAATGGATCAACACTGACCTAAGAAATCAAAATATTCCACAGTGCCACACTAATCCCGATAACTGTCATTTCTGGTTATTAGTACATCATTAACATAGGGCCCTACCAAATGACCAAATGTAATTTTGACCACAACTCTGATGAAATGTATCCATGAAGATTAGATTTAGTCATCATAATCATGAAAAAAAATCTTGTCTCTCTGATATACATTGAATTATAGTCATCTTCATAATATTTTTCTGCTGGCGATCAACTATTATTTGGCTTGAAATAAAAATAAATGGCATGCTATTATAAAACTGAAGCATGAATAATCATGAGTGACTAGAATTAAGTTTGAATAGAAATTAAATAATACCACTGCCTACCAAATAGCTTAGAAAATAAAAATAAAGCATAAAGATGACTAGAAACCAGTTATTGATTTAAATTAGAATGTATTACAATAGCCCTTCATGGGCCTTCAGCATGGATTTTATTCTTCTGCAAAGCTCACACAAGGAAATAAAATGTCAAGTTCCAACTATCGTCTAGTTGTTTCTAATTCAATAAAAATACATTTTTCTTCTTTATGCTTATAGGGAATACTAATAATTCTGTAACCTTACAGAAAGGTTTAAAATTCACAAAGTATTTTGTAAAAAAAAAGAAAAAAGAAAAAAAATCTTGAAAATAAAATACAATTTTTATAGTATCTTAGAAAGTAATCTTCAAAAGCCAGTCACGGCTTCTCGGCTCCCTAGAGGGAAGAACATAATCTGTACATTTGAGCTGGCCACTGTGGGTTCATTCACGAAGGCATCCAAAACGAGAGGCAAACACATTCTCCTCGAGTCTTCTTGCCTATTGCCAAATTGGCAGCGCTTTCATTTTTCTTATTACTATTTATGCGTTTCTACATCTGCACAGTCATTTCTTTAATTTTTCAGGGCCCCTTTCTTTCCCTGCCTGCCTGCAGGTTGTTGACCATACACCTAGGGTGAGTGTCACCATGGATGTCCCGAGCCAGCTTGTAGCCCCCCTTCCATGTGCGAAACCTAGGACCAAGCACCGATTGGTTCTGGAATGGAAAAACTCACAACGCTCCTATTTTATTGCTTTCGAGCCGAGTGACCTCTTACGGAGGGCAAGAACAGACACCGGGCGCAGCAGCTGGAGGTTACACAGGTCAAGGATCTAAAACTCTATCAGTGATTTTCGAGGCAATCTCAAAAACATGGGAAGTTCTGAGGGTGGCCTTTGGGAGAACGTCCGCAGGCTGGTTGGCGATCCACTAGTCACTGGCCGGCCTTGCCTCAGGGGAGTTACGACTCAGCCGTTCTGTGTCTTGGCTCGCCAGCTTCTGAGCCCCACAAAATATATGTTCCTTGCTTATTCATCACTGTCCATTTCCAGCCCTTTACGCAGCCAGGACCAAATCAGTTGCTTAGCGAACATTAATCGAATGATAATTAATTATGAAATGGGCGACACGGAAAGGGCTCCTAAACTGCTTTTCACTAACTAATCAACGAAAATGTTTGACTTAGTATACGTTGCTGCACCAGGCACTGTCATGGGCACCAGAGTTACAATGATGACAGGGGACAGACGTGCGCTCCGTCCCCGCAGAGTCTGGTCCAGAGGAGACCAATGTCACACAGCTAATGACTTCACCAGGGCTGAGATGAGGGCTATGAGGGAAACGTCAGGACTCTCCGAAAGAGAAGGGGACTTCTACAGGGCCATTTGCACAATACCCACTGTGCAGAATGAGTCTGTCAAATGTCCTCACCTTCAAGTCTCTGTAAACAACAAATCGATTGTGCATGTGCTCCAGGCCCAGAATGATCTCCGTGGCATAAAACCGCATCTCCTTCTCAGAGAACACCCCGTGTTGTGAAAGGTGGTAGTGCAAATCGCCCCCTGGAATCAGATTCAGAACTTAATTCAAAGCATGTCAATTTAAAGGAAACAAAAATCATTGTTATCCTACATAGTCAGGACTCAGTAGAAAAAGGGAAATTGCTTCTGCTCTGCCTACATACCTATCTTTGATTCCTGTAGTTTGGCAACAACTTAAACATTATAGAGAAAACTTAAAGGTGACTTAAATGTGTTGACAGGAAGGACAAGACAGCAAAAGCAAGCCACCATTCTCGGGCTGGCGGCTCAGCCCATGGTTCCGCCATCAGAAGCTGGGACTAGCTAATCTGCTTTGACTACTTAAACCCTGATAAATGAATCAACCCATGGAGTGATCCAACAGACACTTTAGCAACTAGCTCTATGGATAGACAAAAAAAAAAAAAAAAAAAAACCCAAAACAAACAAACAAACAAACAAAAAACTAGGCTGGGCGCGGTGGCTCACACCTGTAATCCCAGTACTTTGGGAGACCAAGGTGGGTGGATCACTTGAGGTCAGGAGTTCGAGACCAGCCTGGCCAACATGGTGAAACCCTGTCTCTACTAAAAATACAAAAATTAGCCGGATACGGGGGTGCACACCTGTAACCCCAGCTACGCGGAAGGCTGAGGCAGGAGAATTACTTGAACCTGAAAGGGCGGAGATTGTAGTGAGCCAAGACTGCGCCACTGCACTCCAGCCCAGACGACAGAGACTCCATCTCAGAAACAACAGCAACAAAACTGACCATGTAGACAGATATTTGACAAAACAAATACAGTAAAATTTTAACTAATAAAAAAAATCCAGGTGGTCGGTATCCCCAGGAAAATTCTTTCCATGTTGCTATCTGCTTGAAATTTTTCATAATAAAACGCTAGAGAAAGGAAATAATCAGATGGCCTCAAATTACAGAGACGGAGAATGCCATCAACAGGGTGAGGGAATGATTTTATAAAACACGGGGAAAAAGCCTCTATTGATTGATAAAAACAAGCGGGTGTGTCCAACTTTATTACCCTTGTTTTTGCCAGCATACTTCTCTCTCCATACACATATTTCTGTATAACCATTACCATATCAAGATGGAAAAGACGCCGAGCTTCCCAAAAGCTCTCCCACCACTATGCCCTTTTAGTCAAGACCTTACCCTCCAGCCCCAGTCACACAAAGGTCACTCTTCAGCCCTCTCTCCCCAACCATTAGTTTTGTCTGTTTTGACAGTCACATAAGCAGGGTCACCTAGGGTAGATGCTGCTGCGTCTGGCTTCTTTTGCTCATTATTATGTCTGTGAAATTCCTTCATGTTTTGGCGGTAAATCTGGTTTTAGATCAAACACTCGAAAAACATCATAAAACTTCAAGAGAATTTAAGAAAAAAAAAAACTAGGCATGTGAGTTGTGAATTGTATGCCTTTTTATTTCAGTTATTACTAAAAATACTTTAGATATAAACCATGACACTTTCGAGTATCAGAAAGCTGCTTTTCCAGCTGAACGTTTTCCAGCATTTTCAAAATCATCATCCACAGTTTAAAAGATCAATGTACAGTACTGCAGATTTAGAAGGTGCAGAAGGACTGGGCTAAAATCTGCACTTGGCCCAAAGTCAGTCCTTTAAAGTTGGTTTTTAAATACATTTCTATCTTTGGCCTATATTCTTATGAGGTATTTCATTCCTAAAAGTTGAGGGCCAGGAAATAGCTAATTAAAGATCTAGGCCAGCTGCATTCCAGAAAATCAAGTAAGTATTTTATGAAAATCTTTTCTAGAAAATCCAACTTCTTAGGAAGCGACTGGGAGGCCCAGAAGGACATCACAGTCAAAATTTTAAAATGAATTTTCACTGAAGATGAAAGGTAAAAGATTTCTTCAAATTTCAGAGGGAACCTAATTACCTGAAAGACCCACATTGCCACTATGCCTAGATTTAATGCATGCTAAGATTTTAACATCACGGCAAAGTCATTCAAGGTATTCAGACTTTCCAAGTTTTGCTTACCGTTCATCAGATCCAGGATGAAGCAGAGTTTATCTGGGGTATGGAAGGCATAGGTCATACATACAATGAAAGGACAGTCCTAGAGTGGAAAAAAAAAAAAAAAAAAGGTTTATAAGAAGAGCACAAGCTGCTAGAAAGCATATCTATTACCAAACATCATGCTATATATTTTTAAAATTATTTTTAATTGCCATGTTGCAATTATACATATACGTGGTGTACAGTTTGATGTTTTGACACATATCTATGTTGTATAATGATCTAATCAGGGTAGTTAGTGTAGCCATCACTTCACACATGTATCATTTCTTTGTGGTGAGAACCTTCAAAAGCCTCTCGTCTTGCTATTTTGTAATATACAATACATGCTGTGGGTTTTTATCCAAACCATTACCTCATGCATTGAGCACCGACAACTACATGGTAATTTTAAAAGTCACAGTAAAATGGAGCTGGTTACATAATAAAATGCATAGAGACACCACATTAATAATTGGAGCAGATGACCTTGAAAGTCCTTTCTCACTTGGATTCAATCATGTCTCTTTCCTAATTATATCCTCTTCAAAATACTAGATACAGAAACATATCACCATCTTGCCAGCTTTTTTGCTGGTCAATATTTTGGTTCTGGCTATTCAAATATCCATTTCAATCTCTGCTTCTGAAGTTGATGGAATCATAGCATGGGTTGGGGAGGGAGAAATGTTATTTGTGGTGTTGTTTTGAAACACTAAGAACAAAAATGGAATTAAATTAGCTTTTGAAAGTGGAAAACTATTATCATGATCAAGGACTGAATAACTCAATTGTAAAGATTTCAATGTTCCCCTAATTAATCTATAGATGCCATGCAATCTTAATTGAAACGAAAATTGACAAGCTGGACTCTAAAATACATGTAAATGAAAACAGTCAAGAAAAGTTCTAATATTCTTGAATACAAACGAAGCTGGAAAATGTATAGGATCAGATATTAAGACTTATTTGAAAGCAACAGTAATTCAGACAGTGGTATTAGCCCAAGGACAGACAAGAAAACCAATGAAATGGAAAAGGAAATCCAAAATCGACCCACACATAAATGGTCACTTGATTTGTTATTAAGGTGATATGACAGGGACTGCGGAAAGGATGGCCTATTCAATCAATGGTGCTGGAGCAACTGAACATCTGTACAATAACATATGAACCTTGACCCCCTACCTCACACCATACACTAAAGCCACTTCCAACTGATGTAGATCTAAGTGTAAAAGATAAAATGACAAAGCTTCCAGAAGAAAACAATGATTTGTGGTTAGTTTTCCTTAGGGTTTTGTTGAGATGGTATTAGTATTTACTGATTTCAAGATTTATTTTGCTCTAAATAAGTAAAATAATGGCTGCCATTATTTTACTTTTACCTTTTGTGATCTCAAGCAAGTCATTTCCCATTTTGAGGGGGCCTTAGTTTCCTTGTCAAATAGAGGTCAGACCAGGTGATTTATTTTTAAAGAGCCCTCCTACTTGGATAGCCTTGATCAGAGATCTAAAATTCATGTTCTGGCCAGGTGTGGTGGCTCACACCAGTAATCTGAGCACTTTGGGAGGCTGAGGCAAGCAAATTGCTTGAGCTCAGGAGTTCGAGACCAGCCTCGGCGACATGGTGAAACCCCATCTCTACCAAAAAAATACATACAAAAATTAGCCATTTGTATAAATGTTGTATTTATACAAAAATAAAGACAAAAATCTCTACTAAAAATTTTTTTACAAAAATAGTAAAATGATTTTACTATTTTTCCTTTGACCATCAAAGCCCTGTGGTCTTTCCACTTGGTTCCAAGCTCCATCCTGCTTGGAACCCACCCACCTACATGTCACCAGACCTCTCTAAGAGCCTTCTGAGGGTGGCTGGGTTGTTCTGCGCCAAATATCACACTCCTTTCTTTATGGGACTCCTCACACATTCTTGTTCCTGATCTGGTGAGCAATTCATCTGCAGAGCAGAGAAGCAGGTAGACCCTAAACTGGGTAAAGCCAGGGTCTTTCCCAGCTTGGGCCACCAACGGCACCTGCTTCACCCCAGGGACAGGTGGACCCTTCCAAAAGGGGATTTTCGGAACCCTCAGAAAGCAGCAAAAGAATAAAGCCTCCTTAAAATACTATGTTATTAAGAAGGGACATGAACTTTATTTTTTATTTTTCATTATAGTTTTTGAGACATGGTCCCCCTCTGTCACTCAGGCTGGAGTGCAGCAGTGTGATCTCGGCTTACTGCAAGCTGTCGCCTACGTTCAAGTGATTCTCCTGCCTCAGCCTCCCGAGTAGCCAGGACTATAGGCACACACCACCACACCCGGCTAATTTTTGTATTTACTTTTTTAGTAGAGATGGGGTTTCACCATGTCGCCCAGGCTGGTCTCGAACTCCTGAGCTCAAGCAATTTGCTTGCCTCAGCCTCCCAAAGGGCTCAGTTTACTGGTGTGAGCCACCACACCTGGCCAGAACATGAATTTTAGATCTCTGATCAAGGCTATCCAAGTAGGAGGGCTCTTTAAAAATAAATCACCTGGTCTGACCTCTATTTTAAAGACAAGGAAACTAAGGCCCCCTCAAAATGGGAAATGACTTGCTTGAGATCACGAAGCAATTTGGTAGCCAGCCAAGATTCAAACCCCAAGTACTCCTGACCCTCTCCAGAGTTCTCTCTGAATTATGCTTAACATAGTTTCTGGCTAGGCACGGTAGCTCACATCTGTAATCCCAGGACTTGGAGGTCAAGGCAGGTGGATCAAGAGGTCAGGAGTTCAAGACCAGACTGGGCAAGATGGTGAAACCTGTCTCTACTAAAAATACAAAAATTAGCCAGGTGTAGTGGCAGGTGCCTGTAATCCTAGCTACTTGGGAGACTGAGGCAGAGAACTGCTTGAATCTGGAAGGCAGAGGTTGTTGCTGTTAGCCAAGATTGTGCCACTGTGCTCCAGCCTAGGCAACAGAGAGAGACTTCATCTAAAAAAAAGAATTTACTATTTTTTCTAGCCAACACTCAAAAATAGAGCCCCTCTCTTCCAGCCTCCATAGCAGGGTAGGAGTCTGGCTTGGATAAGTCCCAGTCAGCAAACCCAGATGGGTTCCATATAGACCACGTCACTTTCTGCATTGCAAAATTCTTCACTTCTTTGACTCTGCTCCAGCCCCCAGTGCACTCCACCGGCCTCTGTCCCTTTAAAACATCCAGTCACCTCTGCAGAAGTCAGAGTGGAGCTCTGCTATTTCTCTTACTGTCTAGTCATTACCAAATAAATGCTGTTTTCACCACTTTAACTAATGTCCAGCTATATTTATCTTTGACTCAATGTAAAAAAAAGCACGCAGGTGAAGGAATCAGATTTGATTATCTCTACAGAAATCAGTGACTGCAACCCTCATCTCTTGGGGTGCTGAACAGACGCTATAATGGGTTTCATGTGGAGTCCAGGACACAACCGAATACTGACCAATATGAAAATATAAGAGGCAGTTTAATGAATCGTAGGATATAGTTCCAAGGATAATTATAGATAAGAGGACGTGCCTTGATTACAAGTCAGTGGTAAATAAAAGCAGATTTTTAGAAGACCCTTAAGTAAAACTCTTGAGCAAGGAGCTGTCTTCTTTGACGTTCTACCAAAAGTCAACAAAATAGCTTACATTTTGCAGGACCTTGCCATAAAAAACACTGTGATGAAACAGGACCATGAAGTCGTTGTTTAAGAAAATCCTCCAGACTGCAGTCGGAGCAATCTTAGTGAACTGCAAGGCTGTCCTTATGGTCACTCTCTAGTTAAAACACGTGGTTTCTGAGTACGGTCAGATCATTTAGGCTCCTCAAGATCAGCCTGCGATGGCCTTCATGGTATGGCCTGGCCATACCATGTCTCTCTCCAGCTTTGTCTTGTCCTATCCCCCCACCACTGCAGACCCTGGCCCCTCATCTGATTCCCCCAGCCTCACGTGCCTGGGCTCAGACACGCACTGGCTCCTCCCCAGGTAACCCCCAACTTCAGAAGGGCATTCGCTGACCCCATCTCCACCGTGTGAAAGGCCTTCCGAGCACCACGTGCCTGTCTTCCATGGCTCTTGCCACATGCCCCGGTTGCCCACACATTTCCGTCATCATTTGGATAACATCATCCTTTCCCTTTCCATGCGGCTTTATAAGAAATAAGAACCAGGACCACAGTCAGGTTTTGGGAGCCCCGGCTGGCAGCAGAGTGCCTGGTTCAACCCAGACACTCAAAGTGGTTCATGGAACGAATGAGTCACGGCTTTGGGGAACCTAAATGATTGACTGGATGAATTGCTGACTGCTCTTCCCAGCTGCTGACACGCTTATGCTGGTTCTAGAACATGCATATTTCCTTTTTGCCATCTAAGAATTACAGAAGAAAACCAGGAACAGTACTTCCTACTGTCTTTTGGGGGGATGGGGAAGAATACTCAAGTTGAGATTAAAAAAAAAAAAAAACTTCCAGGAAAAAGGAAAACTGGTGAGTGAACAGATTTCAGTTACATATCCACAGTACAGGAAACCCTGCCGATACAGGCTGATCGAAAAGCTTTACCTAATGAGGGGATTTGAAACTAAATGTTACTAAAAACTATAGACAGTATCCCTTCATTAGCAAAAACAATTCCAAATAACTTTACTATAATTTAGTTCGACTATGCATTTATAAATTTTTAAAAATACCATATAGTTTTGATATTTGAATAAAATACAAATAATTCTTTAAATTAGCTTAAAGTGGTAGCCCAAAATAACCCTAATTTTTAAATTTATTCTCTTAGGGTTACACCAGTGAGAAACTACTAGTCAAATCAATATAAAAATGCTACATGAAAACTATACTTACATTCCTCTGACATCAAAACATTTTTTTTTCTATAGGCTTTCTTAAGAATAAATATCCAAAACTGTGAGATAACTCATTGAAAATTAGTATTTTAATAACTATTTAAAATCTTCATCTAGTACTCACATCCATGTTTGAAATTTAGGATACAGACATTTCCAATAGAAATTAGAAGCCAGTACCATTCATACTGCTTCCCATAGAGTATTCGAGATGCCTGGTTTCCATTCTAATCAGTTTCAAACTTGGTCATGCCTCCAAAGCAACTCTTATTTGAAATGCTTAATACCCATACAATAGGAGGTCCAGGCACATAATTAGAAATTATTTATGGCTATGGGGTTTCCATTTGTTACAACTTAGCTACATTATGCTATTCTTTGGGTTTGATAGCAAATACCTCTTCTAGAAACACTTAAACTAATGCTAGAATATTATAAACCATACTATAATAAATACAGGTGACAAATGAAGAAACATACAGCCTATAAAGTGATGATAAAAGAAGCACTGGCCAAAAAGTCGAGACATTTGGGGAAGGAAATTAACCTCTCTGGGTCTCAGGTTCCTTGCTCAGCTGTTGAAAGGGATTCTTTCATTAGCCACTAAAATTTGGTTCTTTCAGAATCTTTTGGTGAAGACCTTCTTTTTTTTTTATTTTTTTTTATTGCATTTTAGGTTTTGGGGTACATGTGAAGAACATTCAAGACTGTTGCATAGGTACACACGTGGCAGTGTGATTTGCTGCCTTCCTCCCCCTCACCTATATCTGGCATTTCTCCCCATGCCATCCCCCCCAACTCCCCACCCCCCGCTGTCTCTGCCCTATTTCCCCCCAACAGACCCCAGTGTGTAGTGCTCCCCTCCCTGTGTCCACTGACCTTCTTTAGAATCCAGCCTTGAGATCTGGAAGTCCCTCCCATCTCTCACTGAATGTAAACCTTCCTGGCTGGAGTATGTACAGTTTCATTCATATGTAGGATACACAGTCAGAGTCTGGCCCCTCCACGCTCACCCTATGCCTCTCCCTCTCTGTCCTGACTCCCTAGCGCACTCTGAACTCTAGGTCACAGCCATGCCAGTGCACACTTGCAGGAACAGGGTTCTGGGAGGACGGGTTTTTTGGATGTGTCTTCATATACACTGGCATCTGTACAGATAAATAAAAGCTGAGGTTTTCATCTTGGGTAATACCAATAACAGAAAAAGTTATCAGGCCAAGGCGGGTGGATCACAAGGTCAAGAGATCAACACCAGCCTGGTCAACATGGTGAAACCCCCGTCTCTACTAAAAATAGAAAAATTAGTCAGGTGTAATGGCATATGCCTGTAGTCCCAGCTACTCGGGAGGCTGAGGCAGGAGAATCGCTTGAACCCGGGAGGTGGAGGTTGCAGTGAGTGGAGATCGCACCACTGCACTCCAGCCTGGTGACAGAGCAAGACTCCATCTCTGAATGAATGAATGAATGAATGAATGAATGAAATCGGAATGGGCATCTAGCAAGTCAAGAAGATGTAGGGCAAACGTGGTGTCACACATGTTGAGCTAAAAATGAGAGCTTAATACACAAAGAAAGTGTCCAAGGAGTAGAAATACGGTGCTGGGAATGGAAAGGCTGATAAACAGAGTAGCAGGTAGTGAGAGGCAGGTAAGGTCACCTTCCAGCGAAACACTGACCAGGGATCATCTCAAAAGGACAATTCAGATGTGACTAATCCAAGTCGCTTCCTCTCTCTTTGCTTCTGAAGGACAGAAGCTACTTTTCTCTTACTTTTCCTCTCTAGGCTAGTCCCTCTTATCAGTTGTTTAGTCCATTCTTGACTATATTCCAGTGATTTTGTTGTTGTTATAATTATTTTCTGCCATCTCCACTACCATATACTGCAAAGAAGGAAGTCAAGGACAAATAAATGGGCACTGCAGGGCGAAGCCATGGGTGTGCATAACGGAGGCTGCTCGTGTTCTTTTAACTTGCAAAATCAAATAAAGAGATACTATCAGATTCCAATCCGCCCAAGAACTCGCTGGCCTTGTCATCAGCTAGAAGAAAACATAATAAATCAACCTGCTATAAAACAAACAAGCAACCTTTTTAAAAGAAACGCTGGAAATTGAATACTTACGCCAGTGCTGACAAGAGACAACATGATTCTTTCATTTAAGGCCAATGTTTCTCCTTGTTTCATTTTGATCCTCTTCTTATCTAAGCATTTCATTGCATACCTAGAAATACACATTTATTGAAAAATCCATTCCATAAACATATCTAGACTAATTCAAACAATATACATTATACTGGGGAAAGTTGCTAAAACTTCAGGCCATGTGTAAAAGGAGCAGAGTTGTACCCAAGCGCCATGCAAGTAATATTTTCATTTTGCATGTATTGTGAAAACGAAATCAAGCAATACTTAAGATATTTGTATCATTGGATGGATAGAAGTCCCAGTTAAATAAATGATAAGGTAGATGGATATAAATACATGTTATTATGACTGATAATGAGGGCATACATATATATTTAGCAGCTAGGAATTATGAATTCAGCAGGGGTCAATGTTTTTTTTGTGTGTGTTTTTTGTTTTTTTTGTGAGACGGAGTTTCACTCTTGTTACCCAGGCTGGAGTGCAATGGCGCGATCTGGGCTCACCACAACCTCCGCCTCCTGGGTTCAGGCAATTCTCCTGCCTCAGCCTCCTGAGTAGCTGGGATTACAGGCACGCGCCACCATGCCCAGCTAATTTTTTTGTATTTTTAGTAGAGACGGCGTTTCACCATGTTTACCAGGATGGTCTTGATCTCTTGACCTCGTGATCCACCCACCTCGGCCTCCCAAAGTGCTGGGATTACAGGCTTGAGCCACCGCTCCCGGCCTCAGGGGTCAACGTTTATAAGAGTTTGTAGAGGTTAAGAATCTAAAACAGTGATGATCAACAAAATGGAAAGGGAAGTCGTGGATTCAAAACAGCATGTCCTAAAATGCTATTTTATCAATTTATGTTTAATTTTGATATTTAAGTTATGACATGTTAAATAATACAAAGAATCAATGAGATTTTTCTACTATGATTGATGAAAGTCAATTGAGGAGAACCAATTGGCAATTCAAGATTTTCAAAAACCTGGAACAAACTCCTATTAAGAAAATACAGACAAGTTAGGTGGCATAGTCTATTGAAAACAGGAAGCTTTTTCGGTAGGACAACAGAAGGCTAAAAGGGAATTCTTGCAAGTGTTTTCACACGTTTCACGGGCTGAAAGTTCTTGTGTATAATTATAAAATCCCAGTTGATGGACTACTTCCTTTGGCCCAGATACGCAGCATGGACACCGTCTCGGTATAATAGGACACAGAAAATCTACTTTTTTCTTGTTGATCATAACTTACCATGTTTAAGTTACATAAAAACAGAGATAAACGTTCAAATTTGCTGTTTTCTCCACTTTGCTATTTCTTAGAACAAATCAATTGATAAGACATTAATTTGCTTACATGTGGGATCCCGTATTAAAAACACATGAAGCGATGTGTTCTTTAAATATCTTATTTTTATTTAAAAGACTTTTCGAAATGTTTTACACTACGTGTATCACCACTCTCTTCCACAGTGGACTTTCTTTTCTTTTTTTCTTAAGAGATGGGGTCTCATTCTGTCGCCCAGGCTAGAGTGCAGTGGCAAGATCATACCTCATTATGGCCTCAAACTCCTGGGCTCAAGCAGTCTTCCCACCTCAGTCTCCAGAGTAGCTGGAGCATAGCTGGGGTTACAGGGCACCTGCCATCACACCCACTTAATTTCAAAAATATTATTTTTAGAGATGAGAGTCTCATTATGTTGCCCAGGCTGGTCTTGAACTGCTGCCCTCAAGCAATCCTCCTATTTCAGCCTCCTCAGTAGCTGGGATTACAGGCATGAGCCACCGCACCTGGTGGTTTTTAATAAAACCTTTCGATTGCAGACCAAAGAAGATAACCACAGGCCTCGGGCCTCTGAGAAGCAGGTGCATTCTTGGGCCTCTGTTTAGAAGGTATGAAAGAGCTATCTAAACAGGCTCCTGGGGTGCATGTGGCAGTTCTTCCACGGGCTCACAGGGCCAGTGCACATGCAAGTGGCAGCCTGGTGACAAGAACAGATACGAGTCAGGCTTCATGGACCTTAAGACTTGACCACTTGCTAGCTATATGGCTCCTGAGAAGTGTCTACACTTGATCTATAAAACAGAAGAGTATTTACTACCCACTGGCTGTGTTTGAGAGTTATGTGAAATAGTAACTGTGTACAAAGAGATACGTTGATATGATTTTCTTCTATAACATCAAGTGTCTGACTAGGTTTTCTAAATACGATGATGAAGCAAAACTAGCAGAAATTAGTGAACTGTGCCAAGCAACGGGCAGAGTATATCGTTTAGGATCAGCGTCTACTGCACCAGGACAGAATGGGAAAGAACTTTTCCACGAGAAAGTGACCAGGGCTCCAGAGGGCTGCGTATCAGTACACTCTCATTTCCTTGTAGTTGACACACAGTAAGCAGCCTTCCGACAGCCTGCCCGTGTCTAATCTCATTTGCTTCTCACAACAAGGCACTTTTATTATTCCTACTTTATAGACCAGGATATGGAGCCATAGAGAGGTCCCAAACTTTGTCCAAGGCAAAAAGTGTGGCAGGAAGAACTTCACATAGCAGGTGTGATGCCAGGGGCCTTATCTGGATCCCTCAGCTACACTGCCTGGGCACGACCCCAGACTTCAAACTCCTGAGTGCCGGGCAGCAGGCTCACCCTGCCCGGGCCCCCAAAGCAGAAAGATGACCAGTGTGTACCAATGAACAAAGGTAAATTTCAGTCCCCCAAAAACGCATCAGCCATTGGACCTGTCTCAGAATGGAAAGGACTGCTTGGCAAAGCCATCAGTTCCCATGTCCCAGGAAGTGCCTGAGCAGAGGCCGACCAGAGGCAGGCACTGAATTGGGGGGCCACAAGCACCCCTTCTCCCACTGACTCAATTTATAACCAAGCCTCACACACTACACTACTCCACCATGCCCGCGGCTCTAACACGCCTGGCACTTAACCAAACATGTAGTTCTGGGTCTATCAAATCATACTTTTCCATTCTCTTTCACTCTCGGAAATATGTCTTAAACTACTTCTGTTAAAAAAGTATATCCCCCCCTGCCCCCGCACTTAAGAATAACACCATTCACTTTCCAGAAAACCCTTCTACCCAGCTCAGATGCACTTAGTCTCCGAATGCTGACCTCCCAGGAAAAATGTCACCAAGGAGAGTGAGGGAGCCCACGATCGGTGATCACTGTCTGCAGGGCTTCCTCCTCTCCACCACCCCAGCCACCGATCTAGGAAACCAGCATCTGAAATGCCACCACTGCCTACGCTTCATCATCGGCGAGTCTTCATTTAAAAGAGAATGTTTCTCTTTTGCACAGTGAACAATTCTTTGCCATATGATCTGATGGGGAGGCTGAACGTAGCATGCCACGGCTTGTCAAGAATCCCTTCTAGTCCACCTCTGGATCCCTGGACCCACACCCACGCTATGGTGGGCACAGGATACAAGATTATGGTTTAACTTCCCGTTCGGCCCAAAGAGGTGGAGGTTCCAGCTTATTCATTCACCGCGCTTCACAAAACACAGCCTATTTCTTTTGGAGGTAAAGTACTATGAAAGAAATGTTATAGGCTTCCACGTTTCTCTACAGGAATTTTCATTTAGTGCAAATATTAAAATCTTAATAGTGCCGGTAAAACATATGAGCGCTGAAAGCTTACATTTTTCCAGTGTCTGCTTTCCTGCAACCATAAACTTCCCCGAATCCTCCTCGTCCAATAATCCTATGCACGCTGAACTCATTCATGGTCAACTGGGAAATCCAGACACAAAAGGAAAACATAAGATTACACGTAACTGTAGCGTTAGAAAGATTTTTTTCATGCAAAACATAGACAGTAATTAGAATAGCAATCTGACTTTGGGAACTACGCTTTTCATGACTGATTATTTAAGGTGAAGGATGAGTTGCCCCCGGGGTGGCAAGACTTTCAACAGCCTCGCTCAGCTCCACCTCCCGGGTACACGGGGCACCAAATGGTGGCGCAAGGGAAGACGCGGAGTGGAACCGACTGAGCTGAACTGTTTCTCCACTCTCACAAATCCCAGATTACAGTAGGCCGACCTTGAAGACAAGTGAATGTGAAATGTCTAATCAAAATGAAAAGCAGCCTCGGCTACTCCAAAGCCTCATGTTTGGGTGCTATCCAATGCTTCCACGAACTGTCAAGAGTCAAAAAATGAGAGTCCATGTCAGGAGCAGCGACGGGCTCGTAATACAAGGCCATATGATCTGGAAACGCAACAGATGAAGGCCATGTGAATTTGTTATTGATAACGTCACTGAATAGAGAGGGCTCATGCTGGCCATGTGAGCATGAAACAAGGCTAAATGTGAGTAACGTACATACAGAGGCCGTATTCATAAACACTTTCCTTTAGTCAATAGTATCTCAGGAAGGCCCCATTTCACCGTTAGATTTAATAGTGTTAAATGGTACAAAGACAGACAGCGAATCTGACATTTCACGTGAGAGGCCGTAAGACAATAGCAAATACCTACTACTTTACATATCCTGGCAAATTAAAGGTGCGATTCTTTAAGGGATCCCCCAAACAACCTTAAAATATCATAGAGAAACCTGCATTTGGACCATAGGCCTCATGTTTTGATTTTCAGAGTCCACAAGGGCACAGGGTCTCTCCTGAGGCAAAAGTGTACAAAAGACCCAGAGCAGATATAAGGAATTTTTAGAGTATGTGTTATTGCCTCTTGCTTCTAAGAAAAGGAGGTTAAAAAAAAAAAAAAAGATCATTTCTTGGCCTTTTAGTGAAGATAAAGTATTAAAAAGAAAACTCCTCTTCCAACAATACATTCAAGTAAAAATCTCAAAAAAAAAAAAAAAAAATTCCAGTTGATGGTTTTGTGCAATTGCAAGCCTATGTAAAGAGAGAATGTAAAACAGGAGAAAGACCGTGCAAAGAAATGTGTGCATTTTACAACCGCAATAAGGATGATGCAGTAAGAATGACTGAAAATAAAAACGGAAAGATGAAACGCTAAGATGATGGGTTAGAACACGGCTCGTCCTGGAAGACTGCTTTGATCACTCTCGAAATGACAAAAAAGAAGACGAAGCCTTGGTATGATAAAAGATGTCATCATTTGTATTATTACACCCAATTTGTATTATTCCATCTACTAATAAGAAAAAGAAAAGGAACTTTATGAGAATGGCAGAAGGCAAGGACGTGAAGGAGTTATATTAAGTAAAAGATTTGTATTTTTACTACTGTTTTTGTTAAAGAGTCAATTACTGCTGAAAATATCCTTTCTTATATAAACACATTCTCAGATGAATATGAAAAAGAACTAAAGCCCCAGTTGTTTATAACAAAGCATGGGAGGGTGAATGCTTAGTATTTAAAGCTGCAAGACAGACATCTGTTCGGGCAGTGTACCCTCTGGGAGTATGTTCCGGAATAAAGTATTTTCTCATGAAGTTAAGCCAGAGGAAGTTTTTATTTAAAAAAAGAAAAAGATGATACTCACATGGATATTCAATTCAACGTTTTTCCACTGACAAAATCTAGTGAACTTGTCACTAAAAGAGAATAAAATAATTACTAAAAAGTTAAATATTAAATTCACTGGATTTACAAAACGCTGTGCGACGGACTAGAATGGCATTCCTTGGATTGCTTCTCAAATAAAGTAAGTTTCTCAACCCTTTTTTCACAGTGCATTGGACAGGATTCATGGCTTTATTTCATGACTCAACTGAAAGATTGCATGTTTCTTCTTTAGTTGTCATATGCTATGGATGGTAACCGCCGCCCCCCGCCCTTTTTTTTTTTTTTTAAGACGAAGTCTCACTCTGTTGCCCAGGCTGGAGTGCAGTGGTGTGATCCTAGTTCGCTAAAACCCTCAGTTCCTAGGCTCAAGTGATCCTCCCACCTCAGCCTCCCACGCAGCTAGCGCTACCTGCACACACCATTGCACTTGGCTATTATTTTTTATTTTTGTAGATACTGGGTGTTGCTACGTTGCACAGGCTGGTCTTGAGGCCCTAGCATGGAGAGATCTTGCTGCCTCAGCCTCTCAAAGTCCTAGGACTACAGGCGCAAGCCACCACACCTGACCAATAGACCTTTAAAAATAAGGATCTCTAACAAATATTTCTGAAGCTAATAATCAAATTAAAAATCAAAAGCATGGGAGGCTGAGGCAGGAGAATCGCTTGAACCCAGGTGGCAGAGGTTGCAGTGAGCCGAGATTGCGCCACTGCGCTCCAGCCTGGCGACAGAGCGAGACTCCCTCTCAAAAAAAAAAAAAAAAAAAAAAAAATCAAAAGCAGAGAAACAGTTGCAATTACAACAGCATCTTTATTTTCAGTGAATCTAAAATGACTCACAATGAGTTTTTCACTGATCCTCCTGATGTGTCTAATGAAGTTAGTAAATTAAAATTATATTTTGAGAGTTCCTAAGAGTTATTTCAACCTATTTTTTAAAAGCATGGTGCAATTAAAAGGCAAAACCACATCTGGGTGCACTCTGCATTTAGAAATCTATGACTGGTCTTTGAAATGCACATGGTTTCTTGGGCTGGCTCACGCTCTCTCTTCTTACAGATCGTGGCGTCCAGAGCTGGTGATGGGGGATGGTAATCTGACATATTTTACAACTAGCTGAGAAGGGTTAACAAACAAGGGAGAGGGAAGTGTCCACGTATTTTGCCCACTAAGAATGGATTTACTGTAACAAGTTCCTCTTTAGGAGGTACAGATGGCCCTGAGTATCTAGGCTCCGTCAGTTCTGTCTCCATGGGGGTTATTTGAGTGCTATTCCCAATCAATGCCTGGTTACTGAGTGGGGCACTTTTGACAGGAGGGGAACCGTGGCAAAGGAAAGAGCTGGACAATTAAGGGCTTCAGGCAGCCAGAGCCCTTGCAGACGGCTTAAAAGGATCTCAGAGAGAAGATCAGAGGTGAGAGACACAGAAATGCCTGGGAGGCGGTAAGGGTGGGGCAGAATCAGTGTTTTTAACTCTCATTCCTGACTCAGCGTCCTCCTGCTGAGCAGCTGAACTCCACTGCCCGAATGAGGCTCTTCGCTCTCAACTAGAAGACAGAAAGCCTCCGCTGCTCTCTCCAATTCAGCCTCACCTGCAACTCAGCCCCGCAGCCCTGCCTGGACCTCAGGGAAGGTGGGGAGACGTTGCACATGGCCCTGCATTGCTGACGGCCCCCTCTTTACTATCAGACTCAGGGTGACCATGGAAACATCGCCTTTTCCGTGAGGCCCTTCACGTGCCCGGTCCCGATGACCGTATGGATAGGGTCCCTGTGCTTTTCAAAATCAAAGCTCCAAACTGATCTCCTGACATGAATTTTGTTTTCTCATTTGATAAAAGATAACAAGTCAACTTTAAAAATAATTTATTTAAATGAGGCCAACAGCATCATTTGCATTTGCTGTGAGGATGTGAAAGGACTGGCTCAATGAACGAAAATCACCATGTCCGTGAGCCTGGTTCCAAGTGAAAGGACGCGTGGCAAACTTATAAAATATCCACGGAAGAACCTCTTCCCCGCTTTTAATTACCATCCCCCTCTCTCCCTTCTTCCCTGAGGATCACACAAAACTTGGGTTTACCCAAGAGTTGGGAAAGGTCAGATTTTACGACCAACAGCCACGGAGATGGCCCGGGACTTGACTGCCACTCAGCCCTCAGCCAGCAGCCTACCCTCTCCGTTTGATGCTGGCGCCTTTTGGCAAAGTTTCTGCTACTACTCAGAATTGTGCAGTCGTTTGTATGAATATTAGTTTCCCAACATACTGACTCTACTCCAGGATAAAATTCTCTCTCGGACTCCGGGAGAATTGCAACACAACTTTCTTTTTAATTGCTTTAGTCCTGTAAGTACACAGAGAAGGAAACTATAGTAAAGTAGTGTTTGTTCTTCGAGTGCAATTACGGAGCAGCTGCCGAAAGCACCAGCATGAGATGTAATCATCATGCATATTGTGTAGAAAATAGCCAGGCTGATAAAGTCAAGTCAGCGTCAGTGCAGGTTCTGTTTTGCAAGGTCCGATTTCAGTGGTGCACTGTCACAGAGACATACCCAAAAAACTGAAGAACTGACCAGTAGGTGCCTGAAAAGCGTATGAGCTGGACATTTTTATACATGTCATTAAAAAAAAAACTACAGAATATTATATGATAATCATGTTCTATAGTCTGAGTAACCAAGGGGCATATTTATTAGGTATCTAATAATGTATGCGATCATGAACACACATTGACCTATGTCCTTAAATTCGATTACTACATAAGGAATCAAGTTCAGGCTTGTCCTACTTTGGGAGACATGATTCCAAAATCCAAGCAAATGAATTGGATAAATTACAGTCAAGTTTGTATTATTAGCAAAGGTCTCCCAATAAGATACTTTTTTAAAATTGAGGTTCCTCAGTGTATTTATACTTTAGATCATATTGAAGCTAAGAAATTGAAGATCAAAGAGATGTTAAGATAGACAAGCCCTAAAATTATAATGTAAAGCACGAGGAAACAGTTTAATACAAAGTCTGGCACACTGTACATAGTCAATAACTATCTGCTGAATCATTAACACACATTTTAGGGACAGCATTGATGGCATGAAATGAGGTATGCATACACAGTAAAAAATTGTATATGTATGCATAAAGTTTCGTACCTTTCCATAAATTTTTGGAAAATGTCACCTCGAAGGCTTTCACAAATTTCTTCTATGTATGGCTAGAAGAGATGGAAAAGAAATTCCACACTGAATGAATCAGAACGTATCAAAAAGACACAAACCAATGAGACTCAGGTTAAGTGAAATTCCCAATTATGCACTCCCCACGGCATCGTGCCTGGTCCCTGCCCTTCTCTGTGCTCGTCTAACACTCGCTAACGGATTCCTCAACATTTATCTACACCACTTGACGCTATGAAGGCAGAGAGGTCTGTCCTGTTTACCGCTGTATTCCCGCTACCTAATATGACTCCTGACAAGTCACAGACACTTCTTACATGAGCAGAGCTCGCTTGATAGGAGGTGTGACTTGGAAAAGTCTGGTGCTGGGTTTAAAGCTCTGTTGTTGCCATTTTGAAATTCTTAATCACTTCTGTATGAGGAAAACTGCATGTTGACACTGGGCCCCACAAGTTATGTGGCACCTCTGGTAAGCTAGTAAAAGCATCTGCACTGAGTTTTTTAAACTCAAAGCGAACAGACCCATGGAGTGCATTTTTTTTTTAATTCGCTGTTTTATTTCTTGATTTTCTATCTCTTAGAGTCATAGAAATAACCACAGGGGAGAGACGATGCGATCCCACACCTCATCTGGCATGTGAACCTCCCGGACTCAGGCAGCTGCACTCCCAAACGTCTCTGAGAAGGTCCATGGCTCAACTGGAGTTACGGGCTCCTGGTTGACATGCACAGCGCTCTTCCCCTCATGGAGAACAATTACCACCTATTCAACATCATGCCACTTTACCCATGACTGAAGAAACCGCATCCGCTTTCCTTTTCCATGTGATTAACTTTTAAAATCAAGAAATATAAAAATATAAAGTATCAACATGTCATGGGTCAGCCCAGAGTCAGTGAATTCGTTCTGGAAAATATTTTGGCACCCTCAGCTCATTGAATGATCCAAATTTAACCTTTTTAATGTCTTCACAGACCATCCTGAAAGTTTACAAAAAAAACAAACAAACAAAAAAAAAAAACGACTACATCATGGAACAGTACAAACCAAGCGACGAGAATAGGAAGTCTGCAGAAGCCACAGGAAGCAAGCATGGGCTGGGAGGCAGCTGCAGTCCTTCTGGAAGCCTTGCTTCCTGCAAGCAGAAAGGATGCTAGCCTGGCAGGAACCGATGCTGGGGCATGAGCCAGTCCATGCCAACTTGCGGAGCCATCCCTGTCCTGGGGAAGGCACTAGAGCTAGTTGCGAAATCCATATGGACTTTGTCCCCTTCGTGGTGAAAGAGGACGCTAAACTATCTCTCTCTGAAGTTCTTTCCAGCTCTGAAATCCTATGATTCCAGGAAACACACAACATCTCTTAGCCAAGTCCTTGACAAGCCTCCAGAGGTTCAAGAGACGAAATAGTTCACACGTTCAAAGATCTAAGAAAACGCTATATTTATATATCACAGATTTTTCTATTTATAAAAACTATTGTGTCAATTAATATTTTTCTTTCATACTTGATCAAACATCCCTACTTTCTGCTAATAAAGTAAAAGACGAGTGTCACTGGGAATTCCTAAGACTACATAGAACATACCACGCGACCACTTTTCAACAGAGGGAACCACGACAGGCTTGCTAAGGAGTACGAACGCCAGAGTGCAAGAGTGGGATCAGGGGCAGACTCCTTCCCCTCTCTGATCCTCAGTTTCCTTAGTCTGTAAAGGAGACAGTCATATCTAAGTTGCAAGGCTGTCGTGAGAATTTGACAAGATTAAGAATGCTGAGAGCTGAGCTCAGGACCAGTACATCTTAGGCACCCAAGCACAAGCCATGGCCCCTCCCAAGCCTGCCACCAAAGGACCTATGGACTTACTTATCTCTAAAGGCAATCTTACAACGAAAAGAATTTAATAAAAAGAATTTGTGTTTACTTTAAGAACATTTATGTTTTACTATGAACTTCAACTGACTTTATTGGTTAATGTACCTCTCTGTGAACAGGACATTCAGACACATAACTTCTATTTATACTTTAGTCATTATGCTCTGAAGGTACATGAGACAGAATCGCACTGATATACTCTTTATTTTAATAAACTTCATAATATTTTCTTCACCTCTGAAACAAGAATAATACCCATTCTATATCCATTTAGCCAGAAAATTATTTTCACTAATTTTTTTTTTTTTTTTTTTTTTTTTGAGACAGAGTTTTTTGCTCTTGTTACCCAGGCTGGAGTGCAATGGCACGATCTCAGCTCACTGCAACCTCCGCCTCCTGGGTTCAAGCAATTCTCCTGCCTCAGCCTCCTGAGTAGCTGGGATTACAGGCACATGCCACCATGCCCAGCTAATTTTTATATTTTTAGTAGAGACGGGATTTCACCACGTTGACCAGGATGGTCTCGATCTGTCGACCTCGTGATCCACCCGCCTCGGCCTCCCAAAGTGCTGGGATTACAGGCTTGAGCCACCGTGCCCGGCCTTTCACTAATTTTTTAATGAAAAAATCAGTAAAGTGTTTTTTTAAAGATATATGAAAGAAGTACCTCCTAAATGAAAGTCTTTTGAAAGTATGAAAAGAATCCTAGTGATCTCTATATCTCAAGTAGAACAATTTTTTTTTCAATGTTATTTATGTTATTGTAGAAACTAAAACCCGATTTGTAAAACTCATGTATTATGAGGTATAGTTTAGCAATACTAAACGTAATTGAGTATAAGGCTGTCTACGTACCACAACAAAGTCAGATGAAAACTGAAAGTCTGACACTCAAATATTGTGGAGACAACAAAAAGCAGATATTCACATGGTACGTTCTGACTGTGTGTGATCCTAGGTAACGTTTGTGGAGCACAGTGACAGGTGGCCCCGTACAAAGCAACCCATGTGCCCCTTCCTCACTGAATCCTCAAGACCTCCCTTTGACGGAGAGCGCAGGGCCATCTCCACCTTACAGATGAGAAAACTGAAGTTAGGAAGATGTAGAAGCTTACCCAAGGTCCTTCAGCTATGGCCCTGGGATTCAAACCCTCACATCAATGAATTTCAGAGCCTATAACCCAAGCTTATAACCCACTACTGTCCAGACAGCTATGGCATTTATGAAAGTCCATCTAATCAATTATTGTCACAGAAAGGTATCACCCAATTTGTTGCTATCGAAATGCACTGTCAAATCAATATTTGCTCTGCTGAATAATCAAATCCACTTTGCATAAATACTACCATAAGATGCCAAAGGCAGCTTACCTCCCCTTAAATGACCAGGAAAAAGATGAGGTGATTATTTTCATCTATTAAAAGCACTATATTACTCAGTGACATTCCTTCCTATTTCTTGTAACTCACAGAAACATGAAAAGCACTTTATTCATTTGAGAATCGGACTGTCCTTGTAAATCACTGCCACCTCTATAAGAAACACAGGATGGAAAAGGCTTTTGGGAGGAAGTGAAACCATTTCATCTAAAGAATGGCAAATACAGACCTATTCGTTATGAATCTGATTTTCCAAGTCTTGTCATCTAAACCTGTATGACTGCATTGTGTTCAAGATATGAACAGCAAGGTAAAATACAATTTCCCATGACTCAAAGATCACTCAAACATTTGCTCCTGAAATCTTGAAAATACATCGTATTTCCTGTAGAGGATAATCACAGCAAGTATCAACAGCCTGGCGCTACAAAATACATCTTGTCGAGTCTTTGCTCATCACAGGTGCTGGAATATCAAATGGGAAAACACTTTCTTCTCTGATGTCTTATCTTGACTGATTTCTAGAACATGTTACTACAAAGCTCTAGTGGCCTTTTTTCAGAGAAGGCTTTACAAAGCATGTTGATAGAAGCACGCTTTGCAAGGAGAAGACATGCAATAGTAAACTCAAACTGTCTCATTAAAGCTCCGGATTAGAACACAGTCTTACAGAGCAAGTCCTCTGGTGTATTCCCACATGCAAAAAGAATGTCATCACGGCCAAGTGTTAAACAAAGTTGATCTGTGTATTTCGGAATGATTTTATCTTACCTGAAAAAGAGTTGATGTCACTTGCTTCTTGGATAAATGACTTTGCACGTGCTCTACAGCTTGCTTTGAGAAAGGCTATCAAAAGTCAAAAATAACGTTGTAATAAAATGTAACAAACCTGTGTATGTTATATAATATCAGGACAGATGAACTGAACACAGCAATTACTAAACAGTAACGATGGTAATTATATTAACATTCTTTCAAAATCTGTTGAGTATTTAGAGGGAATCCCAGCAAATGCTTGTTCCTCTGGGCATCCAGTTCTCAGATACATGCCCAGAAGAATGACCAGTGCTGGGTTTGACATTATGCAATTTCAGAAGGGTTCAAGATCACTCTGATGATGAAGTGCAAAGAATCCTATTATCAGGCCGAGTGCCCTGGCTCGTGCCTGCAATCTCAGCACTTTGGGAGGTCGAGGCAGGAGGATCACTTGAGCCCAGAAGTTCGAGATCAGCCTGGGTAACACAGTGGAACCTCATCTCCTTAAAAATAACGAGCCGGGCATGGTGGTGTGCACCTGCAGTCCCAGCTACTCTGGAGGCTGAAGTGGGAGGATTGCTTGGGCCCTAAATGCATACACCCATCAACAAACTGACCATGGGGTTCTAAAAATGTAAAATTTCCACTATACCAGAGAAAATACACACACAGAAAAATCCCTAAGAGTTCATGTCAGAATTCCAAAGTCAAGCCATAGTGGTAAAAGGCTCTAAGTGAAGGAAAGTCTTACTGTGACCACAGAGAGGGGAACTAGGGCAGAAACAATGGCGCTTCCACCGATAAAAATTACATTGGTGACCGGGTACGATTGCTCATGTCTGTAATCACACCACTTTGGGAAGCTGAGGCAGGTGGATTACCTGAGGTCAAGAGTTCGAGACCAGCCTGACCAACATGGAGAAAGCCTATCTCTACTAAAAATACAAAATTAGCCAGGCATGGTGGCGCACACCTGTAATCCCAGCCACTCAGAGGCAGGTTGAGGCAGGAGAATCTCTTGAACCTGGGAGGCTGAGGTTGTGGTGAGCCGAGATCGCACCATTGCACTCCAGCCTAGGCGACAAGAGTGAAACTCCGTCTCAAAAAAAATGAAAGAGTTCCTATGATGTCCTCCCCGCTCAGAACTTCAAATTGTGTCTTCTTTATTAATGCACAATAAGAAGAAAGGCTTAAAAAGACCATCATACGGATAAACACTCTCTAAATTGCTGAACTACATAAAAAACGAAATGTACAGAGGCTTTCCCACTGAACATCTGGCATTCTCCAAGGGTTCAGTCCTTCCCTAGTGAGGCAGCAAGGCATGGAGTAGCAACGATTAGTCCCAGCCCAGAAATTCCTTCACCAAGCCAGGTGGGTCCAAGGAACAGAGAGCAGTGCATGCCACAGTTAACGCAAATGTCAGCAAGAACTGGAAATAAACAATGAATACAAAAGCACCAAAATATACCATCACCATGACCAGTGCTGCCCAGCAGGACTTTCTGCAACAATGGGAGTGTTTGTTGTACATCTGTGCCATCCAGTACAAAAGCCACTAGCCCCATGTAACCACTGAGTGCTGGAAATGTGGCTCATGAGGAACTGACACATTTCTACTCCCATGTGACTTTAGTGAACTTAAAGTGAAACGTTAATTGCCACATGCAGCTAGTGACTACTGCGTTTGAGAGAGCAGGCCAGGACCGTCAGGCCACCCACTGGAAAAACATTCCTCAGGTAGAGACATCACGTGGTAAATTTTCATTACTAATTATTCCAGTTACTCCTGGTAGAGTAATTTCCTAGGAACCTAGTTTATCCTAATGACCAAATTAGATTGTTTATCTGATTTACAAGCAAAAAAAAAAACAACAACAACAAAAAAACTTTCAACTGCTATGTAACTGTTAACGAAAAAAATTAACATAATGTGTATAAGCCACCTTATTCATTCAGAGACCATTTAAAATGTATTATTTCTCAATAGCTGATGAGTTTAATCGTTAAAGTGTAGTGCAATTTAAAATAATAAGGCTTAATTTCCTTCAGAATGTCTTGAATTGTAACTAACCATTTCTTTCGTTGATCTAAATTAGCAATTTTATTTCATCGGTTTTTGCAGTGAAAGTATCAGCTTTTGGAAATAAAATAAACTTACATGAAGCAACACATGTCGTGCTAATATTACCATGAAACAGACGACGAAGTAGAAGAAATGCGTTCCATTCTGGGCATGCGTTTTTCAATTTCAAACACCTTTCTACTGTTTTACTTCCATTCTGAAAACACTGGACATGGTGCCATATTCATCAGTACTAAAGTCATAGAAGAAGAAGAAATACTTACATGTGAACAGGAAAGAAGCTCCTTCATGATGTAGGCATCATAAATCTGTCGACTTCTGCAAAGGCGATCTTCCTCATTATCAAGTTTTTCATATTCTTTTATCTAGGAAAGTTATCGTTGTTAGCTTACGTCTTCCTGGAAACCTGCCTTATTAAAATATATGACTGGCCCAGGCAGAAACCCCTTGCACATGAGATAAAGCAAATGACTGAACCGGCTATTCCACAGGAAACAGCTACTTCTAATGTTGTAATAAGGAAGTTGGAATAATTTAAATTCAACTAGAAACATACAAGTGGGTTTTTTCCCTATGATGACTCTCATCACTTAAATGTAGAAACATAATATAGGAAACACATCACTGCCATGGTTACAATTATCTTACAACACGCGAGCCACAGACCATGCATCCTTGCCAATTCTCCTCTCCAAAGCACAGATCATTTCAATTTGGCTGTAACTCAGTCCTAGGAGTTATGATAGGGATTGTTCTCACTCAACGGCAGTGTTCCAAAACTACAAGGAGGAAAAAAATTTATGGCCAGAAATCCTGCAAAGAGATTTTTCAAAAATCAACGAAAGCAAATAAGTATTTTAGAAAGGAATTAACCCACAGATGAAAGCACTGGCTTTTCAGATTGGAACCTCACCTGCAGTATAAAGTATTAACAGACAGATGACTTCAGTGTTACACTGTGTTGGCTGAAATTCACACTTCTGTTCCTGCCAGGGCTTGGAATGGAGTCTTCTTGAAAAAGACAGTAAAATCTGACATAAAGGCCGGCAGACTCGGGAAGGCTGATACTCTATCCAAAAGACCATCTTAATGAAGAATCGGTCCAGTAATGTCAACATAGCCAAAGGACCAGGACTTAACCATCCTCAGTCAATTCAGGAGGACAAATCTAACATGTTCAAATGCCATACTAGATGTGAATATGGTAGCTGCAAAGTAACAGAAGCCAGATACCAAAATCCAAAGCAGGGTCCGAAAATAAATCAAAGAGTTTTGGCTTGGTTGATTTCTTTTGTTGTATTTTGCTTTAGGCAGATCCAAAGGTTAATGCCAGAATGGCCTAGGTTACAATGGTAGACTATTACCAAACCAAAGGCAAGTTTCTGCCTCTACATAAGAACAGCCTCAGGGGATAATAAGCCTTCATGGAATTATGATCTTTGAAAACAAGTATACTGAAATGTAAGTCTATGTTCCAAGAAACCTACAAAGCAAACTGACACCTGGTTAAACAAAGTCTCATTCTATGGAAGTTGCTTCCCATGAAGAGTCAAATCCTACCATTTCTGGGTAAATGATGCTCTGAAAGACAACACTATCTTTACTAAGAGCCTTGTGCCTTCTAAGCGTCAACTTGAACAACAGAAAAGGTAACTCTTGGTAGGCAAAGTAAGAGCCTAAAGCATCTATGGCTGTAATTTGGCATTCACTTTCTATAATCAGTAAGACCACTGATAAAAGAACATGTAGCTGCTGGGTGCGGTGGCTCATACCTGTAATCCCAGCACTTTGGGAGGCTGAGGCGGGCGGATCATGAGGTGAGGAGATCAAGACCACCTTGGCCAACATGCTGAAACCCCATCTCTACCAAAAATATAAAATTTAGCTGGGCGTAGTGGTGTGTGCCTATAATCCCAGCTACTTGGGAGGCTGAAGCAGGAGAATCACTTGAACCCTGGAGGTGGAGGTTGCGGTGAGCTGAATTTACACCACTATAATCCAGCCTGGGCAACAGAGCTGGACTCTGTCAAAACAAAACAAAACAAAAACCCCGCAGTCGACTACCAATTGCTGTAAACAGATGTCCTACTGCAGCATATGCGTAGCAAATATCACCTCTGATCCTGGAAGTTTGGCTGTCCAGGTAACCTGGGCAGAGAAAGGTCTAGGTTCAAGGTGAAAAGTATTTCCTACTGCAGGACAGAAACACTATCATCAATAATAAATATTCACAGACCTGTAGTCCCTTTCTGCTTTGGTGGCTACATAGCTCCCAGCTGAACATCTGGCCTAAACTACTCGAGCCCTAAGAGCCCTAAGACCAAGCACTTTGGTCCACAGGTAACATGGTCTCCACTTCCTTGCCCACCCTTTATTTCACCACCATTCCGGTGGGATGGTCTAGTGAAGTCATCAATGGTCTCTGTCGGGCGCAATCCAAGGCTCTCTCCTTTGTCCTTAGCCATCTTGACTTCTCAGCAGCATTCAACTCAGTTGTCCACTGAAGCCTTCTTTGAAACTTTCTCCTCTGACCTCTGTAAACTGTCCTCTCCAGGCTTCCCTTTCTTGGTCTCCTTTGGAGTTCCTCTCTCCCACTTGACTTCCAAATACTGAACCGACTCAGACCATGGTGCTGGGGGCAGCTCTTCTTCACCAGCTAAGTTCTCCCTAGGTGAAGCTACTTAGCGCCCCACAGTTTCAAATATTCTGATGACTAAGTCTGGATCTCTAGGACTCCTGAGCTCCAGATGCCAAATATCCAACTATGTATTTGACATTTCCAGCTGAATATCTAGTGAGCATCTCAAATTTAACATGTCTAAACGAAACCCTTAACTTCCACATCCTCTGCACTCCAGCCAACCAGTCTCCTCTCCCAGCCTTCTTTATCACAAAAATGAGTAAAATCATCCTCCCAGTTGCTTAAGTCAAAAAATGAATCAAAAAATGATTCTACTCTTTTGCCACGCCCCTGCCACCACCACTTCCTACATCCAATTCATCAGCAAGGCACGTCTGCTTTATAGTCAAAATAGAACACAAACTCAGGCTCTGCCAGAACCAATTAACTCCTAACAGAACAATCCTCTTAAGATAGCAACTAAAAATTCTGGACACACATAAACAATAAGCATTGTAGAGTGACCAGAGGTACATAGAGAATGGAAAAAGGCATCAAACAGAAACTGCAAGAAAGGATCGTTCTGAAAATGAAGAGCTACAGAAGGAAAGCTCCAAAATTCTATGTATAAATTTGATCAAAATTCCCAGTGGACCCCATAATGACACATGAGCATGGGAGACCCAAAGCACCCTAGCTAAACCTTAAAGAACTGAACAAGATTCATCTGCTCCCACTGCGGAGAAGACAGGGCTGAGAGTTTGAGTAAGCGAAGTTAACTGTATTCTTCAATGAACAAATGAAAAAATCAGTATCCCTTGGAGGAGAATAACAGAATTTAGAATATCTACAATATACCAATTGCATGTTCAAGATACAATCTAAAATTATTCTACAGATGAAGAAACAGAAAATGTGACCCACATGCTAGAGGAAACACCATCAATGAAAACCAATCCAAGCTAACTCAGATGTTAGAATTATCGGACACAGATTTTAAAGCAGCTATTATAACTGGATATAGCAGAAAGCATGTCATCAGAAAATATTCATATAATGAATAAAATGATAGGAAATGGCAGCAGGAAATAACTACGAGAAGAACCAGATAAAAATGTCAGAAGTAAAAAATAAGAGTATCTGAAATAAAACATTCAATGGATAGACATAACAGCAATTAGAGATGCCAAAAGAAAATGCCAGCAAATGTGAAGACAATCTATAGGAAGTATCCAATCTAAAGAAAAGAAGAAAAAATACTGGCAAAAAACCCAGACGGGGCATCCAGGATACACAGGATAGATAACATCCAAAGATCAAACATATACATAATCAGTCTTAAAAGAAGAGGAAAGAAAGATTGAGGTAGAAAAATAATCCTTTAAGATTAATGGCCCCTAATTTTCCCAGATTTGGTAAAAAAAAAAAAATACATAAATTTACAGATTCAAGAAACTCAGCAAACCCCACAAAGGATAAATACGATATCTAAAATCACTTCAGTAAAAAGTAGAAGCTTTCAAATGAGGGAAAAAATAATCAAGATACTTTTATATCTGTCTAAAAGAAACACACTTGATATATATAAACAAAAGCTGACAGTGGAATAATGGGAAAAGATACATCATGAAAACAGTAGGCATAAGAAGACTGAAGTGTCTGCATCTATATTACTACTCAGTGAAATCAATTTCAAGACAAAGACTATTACCAGAGACAGAGACATTTCACATGGAACAATCGAAAATGTTTATGTACTCAATAACAGAGCTTCAAAAAATGTGGAGAAAATGGACAAAACAAAAGAAGAAACAGACATTCTACAATCAGAGTGGAAGATTTTCACACCCTTTTCTCACCAATTGACAGAACAACTAGGTATAAAATCAAAAGAGATGTAGAAGCGATCGTATCAACTACCTTGACCTAACCGGTACTTATAAAACCCTATACCTAATACTCCTCTGTTTTAATTTTTCCATGGGTTTTAGAATAAAATGTAAATTTGTTCCACTGGCCCCCAAAACTCTGCCTCTCTCTTCAACCTGATCTTCTCTCACACTACCTGCCCCTCTCTTCGTACCGTACAACCAGACCACGCTAGTCCTCTCTCAGTTCCCTAAATATGCCAAGTTCTTTCCTACCATGTTAGGGGCTCTGTCTTGTTCACGACTTTAGCCTAAAATGCTCTCCCCATCACCTAGCTTTTATCTTCAGAAGACCAGCCCCTTTAACATTCAAACCTGGGTTTAGACGTCATCTCCTCTGACAGACTGACTCATCAATCTAAAGTAGTCACCAAGTCACAATACAACATGCTGAGTTTTGGTTAGATCTTGAACCATTACATAGCAGTTTTGACTTCCGGGTACACTTCTTGTTTATTTATTGTCTGTTTCTCTCAACCAGAACTCAAGCTCAAAGAGGTCAGTTCTTTGCAGCTGTTCTTCTGAACAATGTCTGGTATAACATTGGTGTTTAATATTGGTTATGACAAGTTGGTGTTTAATATAGCTCATGCCTTTAATCTCAGCACTTTGGGAGGCTGTGGTGGATCACTTAAGGCCAGAAGTTCAAGACCAGCCTGGGCAACAGAGTGAGACCCCATCACAGAAATTTTAAAAATAGAAATAAAAGTATCTGGGTGTGTGGTACACACCTGTTGCCCCAGCTACTCAGGAGGCTGAAGCAGGAGGATTGCTTGAACCCAGGAGTTCAAGACTGGAGGGAGCCATGATTGCACAA